GTGTGTGTGTGTGTGTGTGTGTGTGTGTGTGTGTGTGTGTGTGTGTGAATATGCGTGTGTACATAGATGTGTCGAACATTGAATCGTCGCTATTACAAAAATATACGTCAAATTATTTGAATTGTCGCACTGTTGTAACCACATTCGATTAGTCAGCTATATTCCCATTTTAATTTTATTACGCCAGAAAAGAAAAGCACTCTTTTAATGCAATTTATGAGTTATCCTTTTTTATATATTTATAATTGTTGGTTTTTATTTTTCTATTTGTATGTATGTATGGTTAAGATTGTCTAAAAGTCTATGTGAGAGTGTGTGTGTGTGTGTGTGTGTGAATGTGAGAGAAAGAGAGAGTGCGTGTATGTGACTGTGCCCCGACTCGACCGTACGACAGTGTGGCTGTCCGGTTGCATATAAACGAATTACTTGACTGGTATATGAACGCATTTTTCATTTCGTTTGAAGATGCATTTCAAGGCAATAATCATTTCAGTCGAACAAAAATTAAATAATAAATCATCAAATCATCATTCTTCCAACCCAATATATTTCTCTTTTTTTACATTTTTAAGATACAAAATCAATTTGAATTCATAGAAATGAAGATATATATTTCTTTTTTGTATTTGTCGTTGCTAATATTGGTGTCTCGACGAATATAGATACATGTATATACATGTGTGTGTCTGTATACATGTATATAAATAAATGTACCTATCTCTTTCTTAGGCTCTCTGTACGAATGTGCAAATCAAACACAAAAGAACCGAAACGAAGACAATGAATACGAAAAGAAAAATATTGAAAAGCAAAAAAAAAAATTAAAAGAAAGGCGAAAAAGTTGACAGAAGAAAATGAATAATATATTTATTATGTGCGGAGAACTAAACATCGAATACCAAATATGTATGCAACGTTGTGATGATTTGTAACTATTTAAATACTTTTGAGCATTAAGTTTTCTACAACGATTCGCAGAATAAATGCCCATATTGAAATGTACAAATGAATTGCCCTGTACATGACATGGCTCTCATTTTTGTTCGATACGATATGCAAAGCGAATTGATCCGATTTAAAAACAGAAGAGATGCAGAAAAACAAAATTAAAAAAAAAAAAACAAAACAAGAAAAACGAAGTGTTAAAATGAACTAAACGACACACACACGATAGACAATCAGCTGAAACAACAAGAACATATTCAACGACTTTGAAACAGCATACAAAAGTGATCGGTATTCTGAGATCTTTTGCGCATTCTACTTTGTTGTGCAGTTATTTTAATTTTGAAAAAAAAAAGAATGGTTATAGGCGAGAGCTCTTCTCGTTTACTCTTTCTCTCTCTTGGTCTCTATCGTCGTTTCGTTGGTCTTGCTCTGTCGATGTCTAACTGTGTATATATGTATTGAAGCTGTGCGTTCGTTTGTGTGTGTAATACAACTGTGTGAACATGTTTCAAACAACCCATTTTAGAAAACATTTGCGATATGTGTGTACAATTGTCCGAAAAGATGGGAAAAATATGCACTTTCAGACATATTTGCGGCAACCATTCAAATATATATATATATATTTATATATATATGATAACAATAAGAATGTACACTGAATACATCAATATGGTATATTTTCATTTTCCTGTTATGCCATCCACCAATTTTTTTGTTTGCATTTTAGTTGATACTTTTCATATATATATCTTTTTTCTTCATTTTTTTCACTTGAAATTCATATCGTCATTGTCGTAGTTGCATGTTGTTTTAGTTTCATTTATATTCATTCTTTTGGATTGTCCTAAATATTCAATAATGTATAGACATTGATAGAATGCTTCATCACATGCAGGTTAACGTGACAGACAATGAACCACACATAGCTGTTCTCAAAAAAAAAAACTCAACAATAGCTCGAATTAAATATGCAAAAAATATAGTATCATATTTTGTCTATTGAATACCCATTACAATTGGTTGATACTGGTGCAATACACTGACCATGTTCACATTGGACATGTCATTGTATACCGTAATAAAAAAATATATAGATGAATCGAAAGAAAGGATTCCAAATTAAAATATAGACACCAGAAGTAATACACACATTATGTACGCATTGTAAAATGACCTTTGAGCGCATTTTTCATGAATTATTTTTGTAATGAATTGTAATTGAAAAGAGGGAAATAAGCCGGTTACAGAAGCAGCATACACATAGTCATCATTACCAGTGGGCTATAAAAATAAATGTGCCTCCAAACATTTTTTTTCTTTGAATGATGACAGATTTCTACCTCTGCCTTATTTATTCGCATTCGAATTTCGAAACTTCGCCGAGTTTGTACACATTTTGCACTTATGCACAAAATTCTACACATAATCACTCTCAAATATGTATGTTTGGTTACATAAAAAAATAGACGCACACATACATAATATAACTAACAATCTTATATTTTTTTCGTTCACTTTTTGTTCATTTGGTTTTTATTTGTTGTTGACGGTACACGATGTCCAATGCAGATTTTTTAAAGATTTAGATAGTTTTCCTTTCATTATATTCAATTGATTGAAATTACAGGCAGGTTTGCTTGGCTTAATCACAAACTTCGCTTGAACAATGATAGGTTCAAAACCAGCGCGCATGCATGCATTACATTAGGAACTTTACTGTGAACCTGTTCATTTGGTACATTCACCCTTTACCCTGGTGCGATATTGAACATGTTTATTACAATTCGGAATATGAAATCAGCAAAGAATATCTAACTATATCTCTTTCTCCTTTATGCGTAAATCACACATACTATCCGAGAAAAACTATGTTGTTTTACTTGTTATGATCATCATAGAAATTTATAAAGAAACCACCACCATCATCATCATCATAATCATCAATAAAGGTTACGATCGGTTTTTCAATGAAAACTCGTTTCTTTAAATATATATATATATATAAAACAATTTACGTAATGTTTCGAAAAAATTATCCGAACGAAGGCACCTAGATAGAGGGAGAAATTCAAGTAAATTGAATTGAGCAACTGCAGAGACTGGATTAGATTTTAAACAGATAAATAATTGGACGAAAAAAAATGCAAACAAAACAAACAAACACAGTGAATATGGGTTCTCATTAAAATCTTGTGGTCCTTCTTCTAATTTTTGTAGATTCTTCTAGCATGGTTGTGCCTTAGACCAGACTTATTGGTAAGTTCTCTCTGTCTCTGTCTGTCTCTTTTCGCTCTCACATAATTCAATATCACCATTCCCATTTTCATGCATTAAAAACAAAAAAAAAAAACAACAACATTAAAATAAAATAAACCACAAGTAATCGAGCCCCGCCAACTTTCTATGGGTTAATTGATTGTTGTGTGTGTTGTGTGTTTCTTCGGTAACCTTCGTGCACAATTCGCAATCCCAACAAAATAACAACAATATAATAACCATTACTAAACGAATAACAACAACAACAACAGCCAACGTGAACAATGCTGATAAACAAAAAACAAAGCCTCACACTGCTGTGTACATCAAATCAACCCAATTCCAAATGAAATCTTCCATGGTTTATGCTTCACCTCTAACAATTGTAACATAGAAATGCAACCGATGCTATCACTTTGTCCATTTGATATGCTGTTTATTTGTTATGGCTTGTTTCGTGTATGTGTGTGTGTTTGGTTTGTGAATTAAGTCGCGAATATCCAATTATACATCGGCTTGAACGTATTTCCTTCGTTTGTGTCGCGTTTTTTTTTTTTGTTTTTTGTCTCAAATGAATATTATAATTTTGTTGCATTGCTTTGTGTATAAGTTTTGGTTTTATTTTTCTGTTGCTTTTCCAGTAGCTTGTTCAACTAACTCTATTGAAGTGTGACAATTTATTGACACATTTCCGTTATTGTGTGCGTAGTAAAGTTTTCAGTTTTGCTCACACTCCTTACTGCTTTTACTACTTCTTCTTTTTCTTCTTCAGCTTAGAAAAAACATTTGCGTTAAAATATTTCGCATTCATGCATTTCATATTTTGCGTTGTGGCGATTATTATTATTAGTATTGTTGGTATGCACTTAAAATCAATGCATTCAAACGAGCAAACGAACAACAACTACAAAAATAAACACACAAAGTGTTTTCTACACCGATTAAACCTTTTTTTGGTGTAAATTTAACTCAAAATAAGAAATCTCTACTTTTACTGCGGCAATTTATTCATTCATCATGACCGATTCGAAGCTCTTTCGTTATATATCTATATGATTAGTTGTGTGATATCTTTTTCTCTTCACTCGTTCGCTCGCTCACTTCATTTTTTTTTTGCACAGTGCTGCTGATGTAGCTGTTGTTTTTACTGCTCTTTGAACGTAATAAACACCACGAAAAAAAACAAATGTTGTACACATAGTAAAAAACATATTATTGGTTTTATTTAAGAATGTATGAAGTGAAATGTCGTGGTGGTTAGTTAACTGGCGCAATATATATTTGGGATATATGAAGTATTTATGAATTTTGATGTGTGTGCAAAAATAATTGGGTATTCAGATTAGTGTTGAGGCTAAGATTTACGTTGTATGTGAATTTGGTTAGCGCTCACTCTTTATATTGCCAGACGGAAGACAGATGCATATCGTAATGTAAGATGAGAATATAATGTGTATTAAGCCGTTGCTGAAACAGACCTTTCTATTTGCAAAATTGACTGAAAAAGAAACAAAAAAAAAAGGAAGAGAAACATTACGAGAGCGGCAGAGAGAAAGAGATGTAATAAACACACACATATACATTTCAGGGGGTACACGCAACGATTTAAAATTCAAATCTTTCATGAATCATTTTCTATCTTATAAACAAATTCAAAGCAAATTTAAATGTTTGCTGCGATCAGTTTAAATTTCAGTAAATTTCTGCTCATTCGAATTTTTTCTATTCATTTTTGTAAATCTTTTCAATTTAATTCCGATATTCATGAAATCGGAAAGAACTAATCATTTAAATATTTTGAAATTTCGATAGATCTTGAATCTTGTGTGTTGCCCCCTATCATCAGCACTGCAAATAAATAAGATTTATTAATATGAGCATGAATTGTCGAAGATGGTGTATGTGTGTGTGTGTGTACGTCCGTGCATTAATTTTATTTCATGACCCATAAATATTATAAATTCGATGTTTAAAGCGACAAAATTAGATAGAGGTCTTAATATGCTCTCTTCATTTTCATCGTCGTTGCAGCCGTACTCGAAAATATGAATGATGATGTTTGGACGCGTTCATTGCAATGTGAGATATTTGCAGGGATTTTTTTTTCTCTCTCATTTCAACAGGTTATGAACATTATTATTTTTATTGAATTCTTATGAATTTCAATCTCAATTTATGGTATACATTCGTACTGTCGTAATTTCGATTTTTTTTTGAATTTTCTACATATAATACACAAAGTTTGCAGGGCCTCAAAATAAAGTCGTGTTTGTAATTGGTAAAAATTCCAAGTAACTCTTCTGATGTTTGTGATGATAGTTTTTTTTATCTAAAATTGAAATGACGATGGGAATGAATGTACTGCAGACAATTTCGATTGAAGTTTGTAGAAATTTAGCAAGAATTAATGAATACACTAATTCCACTTCTTCTACTTGAGAGAAAAAACCTTAAATTACATGCCATAACCATTTGTGTAAAAAGCAATTTAAAAGACATTTCCATATTTTAACAATTTGCCATTTGTTTTTGATTTTGTTAATAGTAAAATAACGACGAACTATGGTCGATGTACCTCTCACAAACAAACAAATTTCGAATGCAAAGTATAATCAGCGACCAAAGTAAAAATAAAAAATAATGGTCGAATGAACGACCGCAAGACGGTATAGTAAAAAAAATAGTACATAACCAAAAGCAGCGAATGAATAATCGGCATTGGCCACTCGATATGAATGGAATCGCATTAAACATATATTAATGACATCATGTGCAAACGTAACTACATGAAGTTTCATTTTCTCTTGACCGCTTGAGCCTCATTTTAATCATATTTCATGCGCACGATATATAGTGGCATATTCTTTAGTTTCCTTTTTTTAAATAGTAATTCGTATTCGACGTATGTGGAGTGCACTAAAAGTATAGGCTATGCATACAGGCAAAGGTCAAAGTCCATTATCAACATAAAAGAGGCCTGATTTGCTGCTTTCATTTTTCTCTCTCTCACATACACACATGCACACAGAGAGAGTGAGAGAGAGACTTTTTTCTTTTTCAGTACATCACCATTTCTATCAGCAAATATTAACAACATTAGAATAAAAAACAATATCGTACGCACAACTAATGGTAGACATGCAATGGTAGACTGTTACCGCTCGATTCAGACAAAGTCATAATGGCTACAATAATAAATAAAGTAGAAAAAAAGACTAATTAAGACTTTTTATAAGAAATGCATTACAATTCACAGCACACACAATGAATTTTTAGAGCTGAAATGTTACAACAGCAAAAAAAGGAGAGAATATGTGCGCACAGTCGACAACATCTCTTTACTCGCAATGCTCTCCCTTTCCTTCTCTCTCTCTCTCTCTTTCTTTCTTTCTTCCGATCAATAGAGACGGCAAAGCACTTATCGATTTAATGTTTCTCATGTTAATTATAAATAGTGAGTATTTTATGTTGTTTTTCATTTTCGTCGAGACTGAAAATGATTTTGATGATCTGCTGCGCAGATTTTTGGTAAATATTTCACATGTGAACTTAAAAAAAAATCGGAGAGAGAGAAAGAGTGAGAGTCGAATTAAATTCAATTAATCGCTTTTGAATCGATCTCAGGCAGCAAACTCTTTAATAATCACAGAAAACTCAAATGGTTGAAGTTTTTCTCTGCCAAAGTTTATGATTTTCTATAAAAGAAGGAAATATGATATGTCAAAACTTAATTTAAATGTTCCCTTTAATACAAAAAATGGACATCACTTTCGCTCAGTGCATTATTGATATGTTATTAATTAATTTATTGAACGCCATGTTGAAATTTAATATACCACATTTTTTTTTCATTGGATTTTTTAATTCTTTCGGTTTAAAATATGCATCACATAGATCTTCAATTAACTTTGTTTTGATTATATCAAATTTTGGTTATATCATGTATTAAAAGTACTAGGTAAAACTATTTTAATTTTCCCCATCTTTCGAAAATAGCTTCTAATTGCATAATTTGGGGGTTTGATGCGATGTGCACTTTATTTGTAGATACTTGCCAAACATGTGTTAATTTGCTCATTTTTCATAAATGTATGCTCATTTGAAATACATATACTAAAAAATATTATCATGCAAGTATATTTTCCATTGCGAGTATGGATCTGAAATGGAGATTATGTCACATAATTCATGTATCTTTTTAAATTATTAAATTTCATATTTTGATCAGTCTAAACTCAATAAATTGTTAAATACTTTGAAATTATTTGTCGATTAAAATGTGTAAAATTAATGATCAATTCGAAAACGTTGTTGCACTACAATCAAATCGTCATATTTGCCAATATTTGTGGAGCAATTGTGAATTCATAGTAATATTCGTCAGCGAATGCATACATTTGTACATTGTACATTAAAGGTGCATTAGGTGTTGAATGTTCCATATTTAGTTTATATTTGCAAAATAATGATATTTATAGATAGGAATTTCAAAATGAAGTAAGTGAATGAGAATTACGTGAATGAGTGAAGCAACAATGAAAAAATCGACGTCAATTTATTGAATTTACGTTATTTTTTCTTTAATACCGAAATAAATAACATAGAGTAAGGGAGAGAAAGAGTTCATTTCGGTACTCTCGATAGGCATTGATGTCATGACTCGTTTCGAAAATATCGAGTTGAGGATATTTCTATTATTCATTTGATGTTGTGTTTCCAATATTCATTTATTTTCACATTTTCTTATGGCATTTTCATTTGACATTTTTCCAAAGCGCTTCACAATTTCTAATCTTAATTGCTGTTTTATAGCTCCTGTCCAAAAAATTTCTTGCTCCGAGTAAAAAATGTGGCTTTTCAAAGAAAGACTAACGATTTTAATAGAAAATAAATATTAACGTAGGTCAAAAGTCTTCATAAAAATGTTTTTTTTTTCATCGACTCGCCAGCGATGGTTGGACAGACCTGCTAGTTAGGTGACAAATATTCCGACAAGCCCACTCAAAATTTGATTCAGCCAATCTTGGCGGTGACTAAATTATTATTATTTTTGAATTTCATTCAAAACAGAGAAATGAATTCAAACTAATTAAAAAATGAACTATATCAGTATTGCATCGACTGTAACTAACCGTGTTTACAAAAAAAAATAGACAAAAACATGGATTTATTGAACATTTTTTTGCATCTGATTAATTGTTATGCGTGTGCGTGTGTATTTTTTTTAAATTTAAATTAAAATAAATCAACTTCCTTGACTTCAATAAGCAAATTATAACCACATTTTTTCAATAATGTGATTGTGCTTTTACTGGAATTCTTTTTGTTTTTTTTTTTCTTTTTCCTATTTTCAATAATATCAAATTGCCAATCAATTGCTATAACGTTTACAGGTACACCATTTTGTTTGTTGTCTGGAGCTTATAATGAAATTGTCTAATGAATTTTGTTTACCAATTTTCACATTGATTTATTGCAGGGTGATTTGGACGAAGAAATTCCAGAATCATGTTCGTCGTCAGATGATGACCTAGAGCTTGATGAAACCAATTTAGGCGAAGAAGGTTTGTTGACACACAATATTGATAATAAAGATGTCACTGTCTAACATAAATGTTTGGTAAATTCTATTTTAGAAGAAGAATCCGAAGAAGAGGATGAAGATGGAGACGATGAAGGTCGAACAGATGATGACGACGAAGACTGTGAAGAAGATGAAGGTAATTGGCCTCAAAATAAGAAAAAAAAAAAAACAATTGAAAAGCCGAAACTAAACATAACATATTCTTGTAGAAAATGATACTGTTCCTGTTTTACGAAGTGCTAGCTTAGCCTTAACCGATGCTGCCGAAGAGCTCAATCGAATGCGAACCGACACATCTCGAGATCGAAACATATTGTCACGAACATTAATTGCGGCCTGTGCAGATAATGACGTAAACACCGTCCGCAGACTTTTAGGCGATGGAACGAATACAATAAATGAAGGCACCGACGACGGTGAATCATTATTATCATTAGCATGTTCAGCCGGTTACTATGAATTAGCACAAGTGAGTTAATTTAAAATGTACTGCTTTGAAAATCCGCATACTCAACTTTAAATTTATGTAGGTTTTACTTGCGATGCAAGCGCAAGTTGAAGACAGAGGCCAAAAGAATGATTGCACACCTTTAATGGAAGCAGCTTCAGCGGGTCACGTAGAAATTATAAAACTTCTAATATCACATAATGCGGATGTAAACGCCCAATCATCGACTGGTAATACCCCCCTTATGTATGCTTGTGCAGCTGGTCATATAGAAGCTGTTAAAGAACTTCTGAACGCCAATGCAAATATTGAAGATCACAATGAAAATGGTCACACACCATTGATGGAAGCTGCATCGGCTGGTCATGTCGAAGTAGCCAAAGTAAGTGCTTTTTTTCTCATAGACATCACACAAATCTATTCATTCAGCATATTCCGAAATGATTAGACCCGAGATATGAATCCGAAATAAACTGTTGAATTGTGTTGATTTTTCTTATTGGCAACAATGAGATGGCCTATATTCCGGTTTATTTTGTCGATTATGACACATTTTGATCTTATATGATCGCAATGGAAATGCAATGTAGATATTTTTTATTTTCCACACTCTCTTAAGTGTCGAATTATTAATCTTTATATTCATTTCAGATTTTATTAGAGCATGGTGCTGGCATCAATACACATTCAAATGAATTTAAAGAAAGTGCACTTACATTAGCGTGTTACAAGGGACATCTGGATATGGTTCGATTTCTGTTAGAGGCTGGTGCCGATCAAGAACACAAAACCGATGAAATGCATACAGCACTCATGGAAGCATCGATGGATGGGCATGTTGAAGTGGCGCGACTCCTGTTGGATTCAGGTGCACAGGTCAATATGCCAACCGATTCATTCGAATCACCTCTGACATTGGCCGCTTGCGGTGGACATGTTGATTTAGCAATGTTACTATTGGAACGTGGAGCTAATATTGAAGAGGTGAACGATGAAGGATACACACCATTGATGGAGGCATCACGTGAAGGACACGAAGAAATGGCTGCATTACTTTTATCGCAAGGTTAAAAAAACATTTCAATAAATATTTTAGATATTTTCAATTAAATTGACGATAAACGTTTTTTTAAGGATGAGATTAAGTTTCAAAATGCATTTTTCACTATTCAAAATATTATTTTTCATTCCAAAAACTCTCAGGTGCCAATATTAACGCGCAAACCGAAGAAACACAAGAAACTGCACTTACATTAGCTTGTTGTGGTGGTTTCCTCGAAGTAGCTGACTATTTACTGAAGAATGGAGCCGATTTAGAAATAGGAGCTTCAACACCGCTCATGGAAGCGGCGCAAGAAGGTCACATTGAATTGGTTCGATTTCTTTTGGAAAGCGGCGCCAATGTACACGCACAAACACCAACCGGCGATACAGCGTTAACGTATGCATGTGAAAATGGACACACCGATGTTGCCGAAGTGTTACTAATGTATGGTGCCGAATTAGAACATGAATCGGAAGGCGGTCGAACACCATTGATGAAAGCCTGTCGTGCCGGTCATATATGTACCATAAAATTTCTTATCAATAAGGGTGCGGATGTCAATAAGCAATCGACTAGTAACGATCACACCCCCTTATCATTAGCTTGTGCCGGAGGACATCAAGCCGTTGTTGATTTACTACTGAAAAGTAGCGCCGATCCATTTCATAAGCTTAAAGATAACTGTAAGCTGAATATTCAATATTTTTTGTCATTTTTTGTTTGTATTGATCAAGGATTGAATTCAACTCAATTATTTTATTTTTATAGCCACAATGTTAATTGAAGCATCTAAGGGCGGTCACACATCAGTCGTACAGCTGTTGCTTGATTATCCAAATTGCATGTATCAACAACAACAGCAACAGCAACAGCAACAACAACAACAACCCCCACAAGAGGTAAAGTAATATAAGATAAATTCATTTTGTCATGTTTCAACCAGCTGAGATCGCTTGAATGCTTGCATATGTTTTTCTTGCGAAAAATAAACAAATTGTTGAAATTTATAAAGTTTCTTTTAATTTTTAGCAAACAAATAAATAGTTTACTTTAATCATAATAAGATCAAATGGCTAATACATTTGCTTTGAAATTAACAGCAGGTACAGCAGCAAGTTCAACAGGTATCACAAGTTCAACAACAAGTCCAACAACAAGTCCAACAACAAGTTCAACAAGAAGTTCAACAGCAACAGCAGCAGCAACACCACCAACACCATCACCAACAAATTCAACCGCCAACAGCTCAACAATCTCTACCTGAAATCCAACTTCCTTCAGGTATTATTGATTTCGGCACATTTGACGTCACATTTAAAACAAATGGATTTTAATTGATACCAATTCTTCCAATAGAGAGAGAACTTTCCCTTGCAGGGCAAGTCTTTCCAGATGCTGGCTTACAAGAAGTTCCTGAAGCTGTCAGAGTTACAAATCAACAAATCTTTCAGCATCAAGTTACACCTACCGATGCAACATTACCGAATTCATTACAAAATATCTTATTGAATTCAAATGTTAAAAATACACCCATGGAAGATTCAATATTGGCAAATATGCGATTTCTTCGCAATCAAGGCTTTAAAGATGGTTTGGCATTGGGTTTGGCTAGATTTGGTCTTGTTAACAACAACAATAACACAAGCCAAAATAATAATATAAATTCGAACGATAATATTATTACGGCAGGTGCGATGTCAAGGTAAAATCAATGGATGTTTTCAAATTTTATTCAGAATAATTTATTATTATTCGATTTTTATTGGCTGTATAGTGATCCTCCGATGATTCAACAACCAATACCACTTAGCATGCCGGTAACATCGGTTGTAACGACCCCGCATACCAACAATGTAAAGCAAAAGAGTTTGCTTCGCAAGAACCGTCAGACGCCAGCCCCTTTTGAATTAACTGTTCCAACACCAATCGATCCAATGCAACAAAATCGATTGCAACAATTTGGAGAAGATCTATCGAAAACATTTGGATCGGTGACCACACCCATAGTCACTGATAAAAACGTGATGAAACCGAATTTTCTGGAAGAATTTAAATTGGTATGTTAAACGGGATTTTAATGCTATAAACTATTTTATGAATCAAAATTAATTTTTGTCATATTTTTTAAAGCTTGATCCAACAAAGCAAAAATCGCCGTTTAAAATTTCCGATGGAGAGAATTCAACAATACCATATGTACCCACAAGTTATGCATTGGATTTGAATTTAGCATCAACAAACGGTAACATTTCATATCCCATATCGCTTTGACGATCCAATTAAAAATTTATATGCTCTTTTTAGTAGCAACAACAGTCAATAGTACCAGTTCATCGAATATTACCAACTTTTTGCCAAATACAAGCATAACAACGGTAACGTCTTCTCCGATAGCACCATCCGAAGTATCGCCAACAACTGCAATTAGTGATCGACCAAAAGTTAAATCAGTATCAAAAAAGGATAGTAAAAATAATCGAAAAGCAGCAGCAGCATCTATTTCGGCGATTCAACCCAATCCAGCGTTTACAAAAACTGAACCACCCAAGACCACTCCTATTCTACAATCTGAACAACTGCAACTTCAGCCGCCACAACAACAGCAACAGCAGCAACAAGAACAACAAAATGTCTTAGCTCAACCACCTTGTCAAATGCCGCAGGTATGGCGATAATGAAAGTTAGAAATTAAAAATGGCCGTCCTTTACATGTTTATATTCGTATTTTTTTGTTAGTCTGCTGTTCAAGTGCCAACATTTACGTGGCAAAAATTTGCACCCAAACTGAATATGGAACGACCAAAAGCAACATTGGAAGCGCATCTAAAGAGTGGTGATTTTGGTTTAAGTGCTGCAGGTGAGTCAAATTATACCGTTGGCATTGCATGCATCCAACATTGTAATATTTGTCACTTTTGTGTAACATGTTTCATGTAACATTTCTCACTTTTGAGTAACAAAAGTTTTCTCCTGTATTCCAACAGCATCATCATCACCATCAACAACCACAACAACAACAACATCACTAACAAGTAAGGCGTTAATATATACTAGGGCGATTGATAATGACGTGATAAATGGAAGATGTGTATCATTTCTATCAAACCCATATTATTTATAAACTATCTCATTTTTACTGTAAGAGATGTTTCCATGAGCAGAGCTCAGCGCTGCTGCCATCCACAGCATATTAAAATATCTTGCTGAGAATGCGTCGTACATTCGCATGCGGCGGACGACACATTCTCACCAAGATATTTTAATATGCTGTGGATGGCGGCAGCGCTGAGCAATACTCTGTCCATACTTCTTAGTACTTCTATCTAAATGGCTCTACTCTTAATGAATAAACATAGCAAAACTTGAAGTAGTCATTTTACAGAGATTACTTTAAGTTTTGTCATGTGAATTTTTCAGAGCTATTTCTACTTTATTAAAGAGTCCAAGCTTAGTTTCATCATAATCTGTCGGTAATTGAATGTTAAAAATTTGTATTCTCCTTATTTTGTATCATTAGGCGATCAATTTCGAAATCATGCCCTTATCTCTGAAGACGATACAACCGAACAAATTGCACCGAACGAAAATATCTTACAATTGGTAGCTCAAATCCCAAATCATCCGTTGCAGAAATTTGCACAGAAATTGTTGGTTGATCGACCAAAAGCAATATCGGAAGCACATTCCAAAAATGCTTCAGACGATGCAACGCAACCGAAGACAAATTCGCCAACCACATCGACAAGTAAGAACAATTCACTCTTAGGAACAAATTCATAAAATGTGTGCTGCCATGACATATTATTCAATGCGATCTATCTTTATCACATTAGCTCCAGATATCGCTGATATTTCACGTATTTTCTTCGAAGTAATTCGATCCGAACTAAATGCAAATCAAATGCCAGAATTTGTAATCCATGAAAAACCGTGTTCAGCACATACTAATTCTGTTGACTCCAAATCAAATTCCAACTCCGAACAGCCAGACTCTACACAGTTGAAGAGTATGATCAAATCACTTTATTATAATCATGTTTGAATATTTATTTTTAAAATGGTGTTCCATCAAATGTATTTATAGATTTCGGTGATCAGGCAGATGATTTGAGTATGTTTTCGGTTGAAGAAAGTGATAATAAGGATGTTTATCCAGATATAGAGAGTTCGATGGACGTCTTTAATACCGATGCACTACAACAACGTACGCGTGAAACTAACTGCAATTATGATTGGGCTGATGATATTGATGTGTTAAACGTTTTACATAGTGTCAATGACTGGCCGGTAACGTTACAGGTACTTAACACGATTCCAAATTAAAATATATAGCAACATTTATCAACATTATGCTACATTCTATTTGACACGAAAATGACCATTAACGTTAAAATTTCTTATATTTCCAGGAAGTAACTGCGAATTTCAATGAATACACCGAATATGCAAATTACATTGGCTTGAATTCCGCCTGCAAAATGCGTTGGACAACAACAGGTAACTGACTTTTGGTCGAATTTTTCTATTAGATAGTTGCTCATGAATTGAATCGAAATTACAGCACCGACCGGCAAAGTAACTCCAAATGAAGAACAACAATTGGACCATCAAATGTGCCAGATTGAACAACAGCTACACCAGCAATTACAACAGCAATTTTGCGTTGAACAATTCCAATTGCTTAGTCAACTTCAGGTACCACTTGACTATAATCTAGCAATTTGCTATAGAAATTTGTTTAATTCAAAAAATATTCTTCACGATAGAATCAACAGCAAGATCAAATGCCATCGGTTCCATTGGTTGACATGCAAAAACAACCAAAATTGGATTTGCAAACAATTCAACCGCAATTTCAGGCGCCTACCTCACCAACATCGACGCAACCTATGGCCGAATCGACCGCCGAACATGACCAAAACAACTTTGTAAGTCAATTTTTTAAATTTATTTTTCAATTATGACTTAGACGGCTCCAAACAACTTTTAGTTGGAACAAACATTGGTATACATATCTAACAAAAATATATATTTTTTTTAATTTCAGCAAACTTCGCAATCGCTTCAACTGCTGTTTCAATTGCCAAATGTTCAACAAACTGGAACTCAGTCACAATCCCAAGCTGTGTTAACAACCATCAATCAATCCGTAAGTTTTGTATGAAATTGAGAATTCAACGTAACATTTCATTTTACTTTTGATTATTATTTGTAGAACCATTATCGATACGCAAACGCAAATGTAATCAATCATGGTGTGATGCCACCGAATTTGGATCAACAAATCCAGGTGAAACAATCACAACTTCAACAACAACAACAGCAACAGCAACAACAACAGAATCCTTTGCCGCCGAATGCCCATTTTCAAGCAATTCCCTCTCAAAATATATGTCAACAAGATCAAGAAACATCAGTTAACAATAATATTCAGCAACCGCAAACACTTCAACTGCAAACCCAAAATAATATCTCCACAACAAATAACCTATGTACAAGTGCACAAGATCAAACCTGCGCAACACCAGCAGCATCTCAACATAAGATAAAAAAGGTCACGGAAAAATCACGAAGAGATCGAAAATCGTCAGGACGTCAAGCATCTGTTCCAAATACAAATACAAATACAGCTTTACAACAGCTTGGAATCACTACTCAATCTACTTTGGTATGTTATTGCTCTCAGCAACGTATTTTCTTAAATGAGAGTTATTTTTATTAATTTTTTATTTTATTTTATTTTTTATCATTGTTCACAGGCGGATAAAACCATAGACATTGATTCCGAAACCGATTCAAATCACGATACTGCATTGACGCTTGCCTGTGCCGGCGGTCATGAAGATTTAGTTGATTTATTGTTGCAGCGTGACGCAAATATCGAGCACCGTGACAAAAAAGGATTTACACCATTGATATTGGCAGCAACGGCTGGCCACGAAAAAGTGGTCAACATTCTCCTAAACAATGGTGCCGAATTGGAAGCACAATCCGAACGAACGAAAGACACACCGTTGTCTTTGGCATGTTCCGGTGGTCGATATGAAGTTGTGGAGATATTGCTACGAGTTGGAGCAAATAAAGAACATCGAAATGTATCCGATTACACGCCACTTAGTTTAGCTGCCAGTGGTGGTTATGTGAATATAATTCGACTGCTATTGAATCATGGTGCCGAAATAAATTCACGTACCGGCAGCAAACTGGGCATTTCACCCTTAATGCTTGCGGCAATGAATGGTCATACGGCCGCCGTAAAGCTACTCCTTGATATGGGTTCCGATATTAATGCTCAAATTGAAACAAATCGTAATACAGCGTTAACACTTGCCTGCTTCCAAGGTAGACATGAGGTGGTGAGTTTATTACTCGATCGAAAAGCGAATGTCGAACACCGAGCCAAAACCGGTTTGACACCATTAATGGAGGCCGCATCAGGTGGTTATATTGAGGTAGGTCGTGTATTATTGGACAAAGGAGCCGATGTAAATGCGACACCAGTTCCATCATCACGTGATACAGCACTTACGATTGCTGCCGATAAGGGACATCTGAAATTTGTCGACTTATTATTGCAACGTGGAGCTGCTGTTGAAGTGAAAAATAAAAAAGGAAATTCACCATTATGGCTGGCTGCAAACGGTGGCCATTTGTCTGTGGTGAAAATTCTTAAGAACCATAATGCCGACATTGATTCACAAGATAATCGTCGAGTGTCATGTCTTATGGCCGCTTTTCGAAAGGGTCACACCAAAGTTGTTGAATTTATGGTAAACCATGTAACACAATTTCCATCCGATCAAGAAATGACTAGATACATCGGAACTGTAAGTGACAAAGAGCTTTCCGATAAATGCAAGGATTGTGTGAAAACAATTAGGGCTGCCAAAGAGGCACAGGCGGTGAAGGCAAATAAAAATGCGTCTATTTTATTAGAAGAACTTGATATGGAGAAAAATCGTGAGGAAAATCGTAAAGCGGCCGCGGCCCGACGACGCGAACGAAAAAAGAAAAAGAAAATGGAGAAAAAAGAAGAAAAGCGTAAACTTATGGAATCCGAACAATTGTCAGAGAAAGAGAGCAATGGCAGCAACGGTGTTAGTAGTAATTGCAACAATAATAAAAAGAAAAGTCAATCGGCTAGCGATAGCAAGGAGGAAACCGATTCAGGTATAGATGTACACAGTCAAGGATCATATTCCAGTGCTGATAATAAAACTAACAATGCCACAACAAATAAATCAAATGAAAATGTCAACAACAACAACAACAACAACAACAAAAGCACTAACATTAAGTCTGAAGTTGGTACAACCGAGATCAATAAGAAAAATCAAAAAGGAAAAGATAAGAACATCAATCAATCGAAGAAAAATAAAAGCCCAAATCGAACCCAAGAATCTGATGAAGATAAAGAGACAACGTCAGCCATGGCGACGACCAATGTCAATACCACAACCACTACCACCACCACGACAAAGCCAAACAAACAGCAAAATAATAATGATAAAAATCACGCCACTGAACATAAAAATCTTTCAAATAATGACAACAGTAGCGACAATAACAATAAAAATACCCATCATCACAAAGAGAAAGATGGGAAACATCGAAACACCATACAAAATGATTCCAACGAAAGGGAACCGCCAACAAATACCACTCATAACAGCAACAGTAACAACAATCGAGGATCAAAAGACAAGGATCGATTGAATAGCAAAGCCGAAAATCATACGGACAACAATAAGAATGAAACAAATGACAAAAGCGACAACCATTTGAAATTAAATTCACATGAACCAGTTGTGACGGCATTACACCACAAAACCACCCGAAACGCAACAGTATCACAGCCACATCATAATGATGCTAGCGATGGTGAAATTTCCTATTTTAATTCGATACGAAACAAGAACAATAAAGCAACGGCACAGCACGATAATTTGAACAAAATGGCTACAACCAAAGCGAATACAACACATACACCAAAACGAGACGAAGGCTGGAAAGAAGTGAGTCGCAAAAGTTCAACTCAACAACATCCGGCAACTGATACAGCCGTTAAGAAGATCATTATTCCAACGTATGCAATTTCACGTGTTATTGGACGAGCTGGTAGTAATATAAATGCCATTCGTGCTGCAACCGGTGCACACATCGAAGTCGAAAAACAGGGAAAATCCCAAAATGATCGCATGATCACAATCAAAGGTACCAACGATGCGACAAAACTGGCTTCATCGTTGATTGGATCACTGGTTAAAGATCCAGAAACTGATATTCTTCAAATGCTACCAAAAGTTACAAGCACTGCTCGACCAGTACCACCGTCAAATGTTGTCGAAAAAACGGTGACCCAAACAACAACACAACCCATAACGAGCACAGCTACAAGCAGCGCAAATGGACCAAAAGCCATTTCCAAGCCCGTGTCTACCGTTATTAACTCAATGAGCACTACCGTAAGTATAATGTATATTATAAGCAATCCAATCGGAGTACACTATGAAGAATCAAAATGTGAGTCTTAACCGTTTGTGCCTCTGTAGCGTAATGAATTAAGCGAATAAAAGAAGAAAAAAAAAACAACAGTAATAGATGCACAGACCTGTTGTTCGACGGTGTTATTAAAGGTGGCGCAGACGATTGAGATTCACATAAAAAGTCTCCAAACTCATACACTTGAGACAATGTATGACTTATTGTCGAAATTAAATAGTAACGATTTTCTTTTTATTTTACATAGATTCGAGCTCTTCATAGCAGCAATACAACTAGCGTGACTAACAGCACTACCAGCAGTAATAATATTACTATATGCAGCAGTAACGTCATCAACAACAATAAAAATGCTGCGGTAGCTCAAGTTCGAACCACAACGAATGCAACACGTAACATAGCTTTGAATGATGCGACTGTATTCAAAAAATCCGAACCATTTCAATCGACTAAAATTGCAACATCGACCGTTGATCATAGTGGTTTAACTGCATTGAAAAATACCATTAAAAATTCAACATCCGAAGCATTTGGAACGTTTGCTGCAAAAGTGGCATCCGATATTAAGCCAATTGTATCCAGTGAAAATAGTCAAATTCATTTGTCTCCAAAGCATATTGTCTCCAATCCACCATTCTCCGCAACAAATGTCTTTACAAACGTAAGCAATATGGATAAAACTATTAAAACGACATCGGCATCTAGCTACTCGAATACAATTACCGATACGGTTGTAACATCAACTATACCCAATTCAATGGCTAATCGTCATGATAGAAACAGCGTATACAGAGATGTACCGATGGATAAATCAATTGCTCCACTCGAAGCAACCACAATTCAGCCACCACCATCGACCGATGTAAAAACGTTGCAAAATCAACGGCATAAAACTAGCGGTGTTCAATTGCCAATTATACCAAATTCACAATCACATGAATATTCATTGTTTGCTGGTGAATGGGAAAAGAAACCATCCGCTTATATTGGACGAACTGCTGAAAAATATCTGGAAAGTGATACACTTCCAAAAGCCGATGCATCGAAAGCGCCTGGATATCGTGGAGCAAATCTGAATTCACCGGTTAATTCGAAAAATGCAAAACTTTCGAAAAATGATGAAAAATCCACAAAGGATTTAGATCAAAAATCATCAAACGATCAAACATCATCGCAAAAGATCATCGATTTTAATACAAATGAAGCGACTGATCAATTGGACTCAATACCAAAACGTGATGTATTGAAATTGGAAACGGACGATATGTCAAGAAGTGATAAATTAATTGAAAAAGATTCGGTCATTGCTGATTTGGATAAGCCACAAATCGCACCTCATATTTCACCGATTGGCACAGCACCGGCCAAACTACCACCACCAATTGGTTCACAACTAAATATTGCCACATCGCAATCGTCGATAAAACCAAATACATCAGTATATGGAAATACAAGTGATTCATTTCCACCACCAATTATTCGACCACCATCGATGCAATCACTATCATCATCCCAAGACATGTCGTCAAGACCGCTATCACAATCTCAACTTCGAATGATGGTGAGTAATTTATAACACAAAATAAAAGAATTTCGAATATAATTGTGTTTTTCACATTCAGGTCCCAATGGATTCAATGAACATGGACACAAAATCGAATCAGAATTGCTATGATCCACCGTATCGTAACATGAACTATTCCAATGTGGATGCAATTCAATCCTATCAACAAGGAATGAATACAAATCAAATGTCAATGTCACGTTTGAATCCACGTGCGTCTGTCTTTTCATCAATGGGTAAATACTAAAAATTCAAACATTCATAAAGAGATTTAGAATTAATAAAAAAAAAATCTGTAATTTTTTTAGGAGCAAATGTGGTGAAAAATAATCCGACACAACAACAGTTTGGTCGTAATAATATGTTTTCACAAAATCCAAATCAATCGATGAATGCCAATTATAATCCGTATCAGAAAATACCATTCACAAATCAGAATACAGGCAATGCGACTCCATTTTATAATCGAGCACCGGGTCGGCCACAATCTCAACCAACTGCAAACAATGGTCGCATGTTTACGGAATATACTCATTCAACGCATACATCACCAAATGACACCTTCAATTTGGAACATACAAATCTTGTAATGCCAATGAATTCAACGTCATCGATGTCACCGAATGGTAACAATAATTCGCAAGCATCCACAAACAATAAAAACGTTTTACAACCCGATGATAACCGACGCATGCCACGTCCAATCGGTACAGAGAGAGCTTCATGGAAGCATAATGTCAACATCGGTGGTCTCAATGCCAATTTGGAAAATGTGGATAACATGAACCAACACTCACTGCCACCTTGGTTGGGTAAATATCTGACAGATTTACAATTTTGAATCGAATGAGTTATTTAATTAATTGATTGAAAACTTCGTTTATTTTAAAACATCTAGAACAACAACAACAACCACAATCTCAACCATCACAACCACATTCACAACTTTCAACTGGTAAGTAATAACTGTTGCTTGTTGCAACTCAAAATCATTGGATCTTCAGCATCATATTCATGTATGTTTTATTTTTCTTCAGATCAACAACCACCACAACACTGGATGCAGTATCCTCTTTCGGCTAGAAATCCCTACAATGATGACTTGCATCTACAAGATCAATATCAAGTTCGTATTATTTCATTCAATTTTGTGGCATTAGATTTCCAGCGAATCGAATCTAAACAAAAAATCTATTTACTTTGATGATAGGTTCCCATGGATTACTACAACTCCATGTTACCACAGAATCAACCACCGATGATGCCATCAATGCATTATTCACAAATGGCTCAACCTGAAATCGGGCAAGATTTATGGGATCATGAAAAACATGTGAGTAAATAAATCAGTTTTTGTTTCATTTGCGCAGTGTTTTATTTTTATGAATCTAATAACTAAAACAAACAATTAAAATAGAGTTCTGGGATGGCTTTGAAATGACTAATAAATTTTATTATAATTTTCTTCCTTTTCACCAGAATCAACAAGGATGGTCAAAATGGACAAACTAGCCAATTAGTTTCGTGAATTAAACAAGTCTTTTTCACTTATATTGTTAAAGCTTAAGAAAATTCAAGGCGAACACGAGAAGAAATGATATTTAACAAAAATGCTAGGCCGCTCACCGCAAAACAAACGATAGAGAAAAAAAACCGCATGAAAATATTAAAAAAAAGAACAGCAACAACAAAAAAGAAAAAAAATGTTTTATCAAATTTAGTGCCGTTTACATTTTTAAATAATCTCAAATAATTATTAACTCTTATATTCCACCCAAAAAAGCATTCTTAGCTTAGAGTTTAATAGATGAAATATATTACCTACAACAACAACAACAACAAAAAGAAGAAAAAATATAGCAATTGATAACTTCTTGTTTTGTTTTCCAAAAATTATATATACAGAATTGATTTGAACAAAAGAGAAAAAAAAACCAAAAGAAATATTCAACACGAACAACAAATATCTTCAAATGATTTAATATATATATATATGTTTAAACCGATGGCAAAGAAAACAACCCAAAATCGAATTAAATTAAAAAGAATACAATTGAGCGATTTCGAATTTTTAATTTCTAGTTCATGCGAATTAAAAATTAAATTAAAATAAAAACGAATTAACAAAAAAAAACACACACACACACATTTCTTCGATTGACAATGTACGAACATGAGGCGACATGTGATCAGGCGGGCAAACCTAGAGACAGACAAAATACGCACCAATGAATAACATCCCGCTAAATCGGAATATTATATACAGATAACAAATAAAAATCAAGATGCATAAATTCATGAGATAAGGGCATATTTAAATAAAAAAAAAATGGAATATACACAGCAATGTGCATTCGCTGATGTTTACTTGTTAATATTCATTATTAATATTAATAGTAATAATAAACATAAATAATATGAGAATGCCGCTTGAGTCAGCACTCTGTGCAGTTATATACAAATTGAAGGTATCAGAGGAATTATCTGATTATTTAGTGAAATCAATCTTCTTCTGCTTCTGAGCTCTTCATTTCACACGATTATTATGATTATTATTATTTTTCTCCTTTTTGGTCATATATGATATATTGATAAATGATGTATAGATTATCATTCGAATAAAGATGCTAAATCAAATATAACATTTCTTTTATTTCCTTTGATCCGTAATCTTCTGGTTTCACAAGTCCGTTTTTTCACAGGGGGAATAATTAAAAATGCAATCAGTTAATGTAGGTATTCAATTTATTTGGTGTTTTTCTGGTTCACAATTCTCATAGTTCAGAGTGTCGATACACTTGCTTTTCAATACTTTCTTGTAACTTTTCTACTTTTCTAGCGTGTTTTTTAATATTTTTTTCCATGTGATCGTTTTTCTCGGTTGCTTTTTTATCTTTTTTATTCTGAAAAATAAAAAAACAATAAGAAGATATATTTTTTGGATTGTAAACATTGAATTTTGAATGCTATATGAACCTTCAATTTTTCATTTCCTAAAGCCTGCTCAGCATATAAATGACTTAGTTTTAACAACTTCGTTTCAAAATGGAATAACTCTTCCTGAAGTGGTAAAAATGTAATGAGTTAATATAAATATATACAATATGGTAAATGGGCCGTAAAAAGTAACCGAACCTTTAATGCGGCCAATTCACTAGCTGTAAAGTTGCTCTGAAGTGCAGTATTCCAAAGATGTATTACTTTTGGATCGATAAACTGATCACGGTTCCGTCCTTGGGCCGTTTTCTGTTCCAATCGATCATATGTGTCTTTCAAATCACGGTGTTTATCACGCAATTTATTTGCATTATCCACGTATTCTCTGTGATCATCTTTAACTTCTTCTTCAACAACCTCATTGAAAAAGTCTAATTCATCTTGATTAACCGTATCTGGAAAGAAAGTTTTTTTTTAAATCACAAAGAACAAAGCCGACAAATTAATTTCCACCAAATTTGGAATTTGTAACGAATATGGAAACATTTTGAGTAAGTTAACTTACTTTCATATCGCTTTTTGATTGTTTCATCAATATTATCGAGCAATTTATAATACATTTCAACCTTTTCATCGTAGTGTGAAAATTCTTTTTTCAATTCATTCAGTTCGTCGACAGTAAATCCGGCCATTTCGGCTTTGTTCCATAATTTGTTCAATTTTTTATCCTTAAATGTGCTAACTTTATTATTATCATAATGTTTATCGTATTTTCCTGGTTTGATATTTTTATCATGATCGCCATATTCCAATAGATTATATGCTCTCATAATGCCAATCAATTTTTTTCGAAGTTTTGCTGCCTGTGAACCATCTTTATCGTTGTCTTTGCTATTTTGTTTGTACTGAATTTCTTCTTTATCTTGTGTTTTCATTTGTGTATACAAAGATTGCAGCTTTGGCTCAGTGAGACGCTAAAAATAGATTTTTTTAAGTGACAGAGACGAAAATTTGTGTGTTTTTTACCTGTTGCGCTTTAACCCAAATCAAGTTTAATTTTTCCATGCGAAATGGGCGCACCAAATTACGGAAAATTTCGGTGTCATCGTCGGTGCTTGCACTTAATTCTTCGGTCGCTCTGACAATTCCAACAACACTAAGACTAATCAGTAGTAATTTAGCGTTTAATTGCATTGTTCACTCAAAATAGCTTGACGACGGAATTTTTTTGAAAATAAAATGTAAAAAAATCAAAAGAAAAATTAAACAGTGCGCACATAACACGAAAAATCAACAAAGAAAGCTAAATTTAGAGCTACAGATACATGTTTTGCTGATTGCATCAAATTATCCAATTGACGTATAATATTAAGTGCCAAATCACAGAGAGACATTTTTCTAATAGGGATGCATGACGTTCTTTTAATACAGAATAATCACGTCAAAGACTTAATGCGACATTTGGTGCTTGATATTTTATTTATTTCTATTTTTCGTGATTTTTTTGGAACAGTTTTTATTCGATTCTTTCATGCCTTAATACACATTCATGACACATCTTTCTCTATTCGATGAAATCGTTTAATTAAATGTTTGAATATTATCAATTTGTTGGTTTTGCATGAAACAACTTTATATATACACATATTAGATACATAATTAGTTAGAGGAAATGATTTAAAAAAATGAATGTGATAGTAATAAATAGATTCTTAGTCATAGATACCGTTTATTCTAAAGACAATTTCAAGTCAATTTTTTATTTGTTTTGCTTTTATTTTATTTTTTTGTGATAATAAATTAAACAAGAGTGTGCACTAAGCATAATTGAATGGACAGGAGTAAAAACTCGACTATCTATAAAAGTCTTGTTTTTATTCGAACATATTCAATTTTATTCATTATTTCTTTTATTCAATGGAACTAAACAAAATGGAAAGAAAACTAGAAAAATCATCAAATTATAATTGTGAGAATTATTATTCATCGATTTTACGAATAAAAATAAAATTTAAGAGGAAAAATGTTTGTGTTCAAATGACGCTGAATCGCTTGGTTTGTTTGTTGTGATGTTGATTCCACCGGATGTTTGTATGGGAGCTGCATCAGTTTGCCCTGTATAAGACCTACGTTTCCGTGCAACGGTGGATGTTTCAAATTTTTGAATTTTTTGCGGCAAACCGACATCATCAACTGTATTCAATATAATTAAAGGAATGTTCCGTTTTCTCAATGCGTTCAAAAAATTACTTGGATCTCTTTTGCTGAAATTCAATTAAATTTGTTTTCTTTTATCAATTTAATTATTTTAACAAACATTTCGGAAAATTGTACTTACTCATTATATTCCAACGAATCATCAACTTGTACTTTTGCAATATTATCTTTACCATAAACCTTGTCATTCTGCGATGATTTTAATAAGAAAAAGAAAACAATTCAAATTTAGAAAGAAAAAAACATAAAACTGATATGGCATACCTCATCTTGAATTAGTTTGAATAGGGCCCAACGATCATTCTGTTGTGGATCATCAGATTCAATGCGGCCGGAACGCTTTTTTCCATGAGCACCCCAACAACTGTGTCCATAGCTCAAGCACGAACCTACAACGGTAGGAAGAAATCGATGTGGAGGAAATTCATTTAAGAAAAGATTTGTGCGGTGTGAATTTCGAATTTATAACAACAACAGACATTTTCAAATGAAACACGCCCATCACTCGAAATGGGAAAAAAAAGAAAGGTCCAAAATAATGCATTGTACCTCAACAAATATAAAGTTGTGAAATTTCGCAGCCAAAGACTTGCTTTGTTTATCATTTTCAAGAAATCTATGATTTGCATACGAATTATATGCCATAATTCCGTTTGAATTGTATGGACTACAACTTTTTCACTCAATAAAACTTACAATTTAGCTTTTTTTCTTCAGTCTATGTATTTCAGATAGATATCCATCCGAGATATTTTAGAATATCTGGATATTTAACGCAGCTGCACAGAGCCAGAGCTGTGTGTGTCGCACGTAGAATCTACGGTATGTCGCTACACGTAAAATACAGACACAGTGTGACTGTGTACGTGCGGCACTTGATACACATATACGTCGCGACATACCGTAGATTCTATTTGCGACGCACACAGCTCTGGCGCTGTGCAGTTGCGTTGAATATCCAGATATTCTAAAATATCTCGGATGGATATCTATCTGAAATACATAGACTGTTTTTCTTTTACACATTCAAATTTATATTTTTATTTTCTTTCATTTTCGTGATTAAAGTTTGCAGAAGTGTGAAATATTTGGTGTTGTATGCATTGTATATAAGTAAGTCGATTAAAGTGTTTTGTGTAACATTTCGAAGAATAGAATTGATAGATTTCTTTTAATCGATTCAATTCAAAGAATTTTTTGGGTTAATAGTTTGAAAGGGTTGCCTCTTTGTCATCTCTGTAACCTTTGTAAAGCTTCAAAGTTCAAGTATCGTATCGTTTTATCATTACATGTATGGCGATGTGCTTTTTTGCGTGTCAGTTTTGGAAGAGTGATTAAAAGTAGACATGACTTCCACATGTATATACATAAATTGGTTCTTTATTCAATGAGCCTTTCAGTGGAAAATGAAAGATGCTATCTATCAATCAACGGTTGGTGCTTTTTTTACTTAACCAAACAGAGAATATATTATGAATGACGCCAACACATTTTCGATTTTCTTCGAACTCTTACGTTGAAGTGTATGTAATCCCAATGTTATTAGCGATAACAATAAATAGATTTTGAGTGATTTTGCACCTTTTCTGTTTCGTTTTTGTCCCTTCATTGTGCTGTTTTTTTCTCTTTTGTAATTGAATTGTGTATGTTTGGATACATAAAAGTATTGAATAGTGTGGAAAAACACCTGTTTACATACGTTCACAGAAGAAAAAAAAACTAATGAGACTTTTTTTCTTATACAAAAGAACATGTGTACAAATAGAAATAAGTTAAAGAATGAAAAAGAAATAAGGGGGTAGATGTCTTTCAACCCTTAACTTTTTTACATTCACATGCTAATGTTATGCATTCCCACCCATTTTTATAACCGAAAGTTGATTTGCGTGTACTTTTGTGGAATTGCACAAGTTTTCCGATGAAATATACCGAGCGAAGATTCTTTTTTGGTTTGATGTGAAACAAATTTTTAAAAATAATAGAATTTCCTTTTCATGTATTTTTTACTTGTTTTTATTTTGTTTTTCTCAAAGTGTACTTGGTGTATTTGTATATTTGAAAATCTCGGAGACTCGGTATAATGCACAAATGAGTTAAAATAAATGAGATACTAGCCAGAATTGAAAATAAATTTGATACTTGAACGACATAATAAATAAATGTGATACCACTTTTATTTTCAATATTTTTCAAGTATCAGATTTATTTTAAACGCGAGTTAGTATCTCATTTATTTTAATTCACCGTCTTGTATTGGTATTTTTTTAAAGAATGTTGGGAGGTCAAACATTACCCATTACCCTTACCCATTCAATTTTCAAACCGGAAATTGAAATTTAATTTTATGTTTCAAAAATGTATAATAATTATCTTCCTAGCAAATTGTCTTCTTCATTTTATCCATACGGTGATGGCAAGAGCAAAAAAAACTCATTTACGCTTCTCGCGCCATCTCATTTCCTGAATATACTGTGTGTATTACAAAGTCTCACGAACCGTAGTATGTATATTCAGGAAACAAGATGGCTTGAGAAGCGATAATGAGTTTTTTTTTGCTCTTTTCTTATCGGAAAATGTTTGCTGATTTTAAGACTGACTGTTTCGAGTGCTACACAGAAAGAAAAAATGTGGTATTTTTAATTCAATTTTGGTAGATTTAATATAAAATCATTTACATTTTTGACATCTCTGAGGCATATTTTTCAAAAGAGACTATCAGTTTAATAAGTTTTACCAATTGCTTCATTACATTCACCAAATTCATGGGCTAGCGTCATCTGTGGTTTCGAAAAGTTGGTAAATGTAATGAAACAGTTGGTAAAACTTATTCAACAAATAGTCACTTTTGAAAAATATGCCTCAGAGATGTCAAAAATGATAAATTTAATTCCTTGTTGGTTGATTTTAGATTAAATCTACCAAAATTGAATTAAAAATACACATTTTTTCTTTCTGTGTACTCAAAAAAAAAGCAACAAATTTTGCTACTCAACAAACAGAAATGTAACGTGAAAAAATGGGTCCATTCGGTAGATTAATGTGAACGCAGGACAAAGTCATTTAAAATTTAGTAATTCATATCAAATGACTCATTTGACACTAAATAAAAAAATAGTTTACATATGTTTATTGATTGTTTCATTCGCTCTGTTTAAAATGACGTAAAATTCAATTCAATTCAACTAAACGATAAATGTAAAGATTTTCTTTCCTTTCTAAAGCAAATGATAACATGTGCAATGTTTAGTTATTTGTAATTTTAACTGCTTTAACGTATTTTACATGTCTTGTCTTGTCTTGTGAATAAAGCTTTCTCTATTTGAATGTCGAAAATTATTTATCCATCATTATTATCAAATTGCTGTTGAAAGTAATAGAGTTCATTTTTTATTTCGATCGGAACTTATAACTTTATCTCATTTATTCAATTGCAGACAATATATTTAGCTACCGTCATCTGGATATTTCAGCTCATCTGGATGCCGTCAGCAGATGATGCGAAGTGAAAACAATATTCTATTGTTTTCACTTCGTATCATCTGCTGACGATATCCAGATGACGACAGCTAAATATATTGTCTGTTCAATTGAGTAACGATAGGGTAATTGATAAAGAAAAATTCCAAATAAAAAAAAGAATGAATGAAAAAATGAAATGATCTGTTTAACAGCACTTATTTTCATTTGGAAATCTGTATGCAGAATTTAGTTTTTTGTTCTAATTATATAATATTCATTATAAAATTCAAATAAATCACGATAAACTGACTGCATACAACAAAAAAAGCAAGAAAAAATAAAAAAGACGTCAAGAAAAAAAGTGAAGCGCATATCGTATCTATTAAAATGATAAAGTATTTATAGTACCTCAATAAGTGGTAAAAAGTATCTAATGGTATTTGAATGCAAAAATGATCACACCGCTAAGTATACTCACACTGAATCAATTCAGAGCAGAACGACAGACAAATTATCATATAAATGAATGCTTTCATTTTCGATGATTTTAAACGATCTTTATATATATCTCTGCACTTATTTTTCTTCTTTTTTTTCTTCTTGAACTTGGATTGTTTTTTTTGCTATCGCTGATGTTGTTACTGCCGCCTTCTCTTCGATGAAGGTACCAACTCCTTTTCAAAATGTATTTGGCCGAACTATGTGTGTGCGTGATATTAAAATTACTAGTTATTAGTATACGATAAAGCTTGATCAACGACGAACAAAAAGAACACGTACTAATAGAAAGTGAAAGTCAAATGCTGAATAACAGACAGAAATAAATAGAGAAAGAAATATACACTAAATGCACGATCAAACGGTTAATATGCAACGATTGTTAATAAAAACAAACAAACAAACATACCGCCAATTTAGAAACAGAGTCGATATAGAGAAATAAAAAAAATTATCAACTGAATAAATGAAACGGACCAAAAAAAGAAATTATATTATACCCTTGCTCAATTTATGATACAAATCGATTTTAATTGAATGGATGAATAATTTGTATTGTAAAGTAATTTTAAAGCTGAAGGAAAAAAAAAATCTGTGTTAATATCCAAAACGCGTAACAAATAAATTTGCATAGAACCTTTTTAAACCGTGTGTAATATTACGGGAAATTTTTCAATTTATATAGTTAGAATGTTTGCAACGAACTGACCGCTACATTGTCGATCAAAGATTCTTATATGAGAGAAAGTCAGCGTCATTGACAACAACAAATTCATTCAACTCTTTTTCTTCATACAAAATCCATACGCATGTTCAAATTAGTTTCAATGCATTCATCCACATTTCAACGCAAGCTTTCTCTCTTTCACACACACACACATGAATTGCGTTTCCAGCTTCTATTGAAACCTATTAACATTTATAGAAGTTATATATGGGCGCACGTATGAATGGAGCTTGCCCATTGGATCATTCTGATCCAAATATGCGTTACCATCGCAATTTCTAATCTACAATGACGCAACTACGTTTAATAATGCCAATTGTTAAAATGTTCTACAAGTGAAAATCCCCTTTGAAATTAAAATTAGAGATAAAAACCGTGAAAATTGATCGAATCAAACGATTATTTATGTGAATTTTAGCTTAAACTTTCATTTCCGTTTGCAATTCTATAAAAAAATTTTTGAACATATGAAAAGTCAGCCCACTCCAAAAGTCATCGATTTAAATTAGTCCAACAGCGTTTTCACAATAAAATGAAAATAATACAAAGAAAGTACTTAAAATTGATACCTTTTTATCGACTGCAGTCGATTTAAAGCAATTATTGTGATTAATTAAAAAGACTTTTCCAATATAATAGGATTTTTCGAAGGCATGTTTCTTCATTTAAATGTTATTAACATGTAGATAATTTTCTTTACTCACCATCTGATCACAGACTGAATTTATCACAATTATTTACAATATCATTTGCAATGAAACTCTACCCGATCGAATACACAGCCGCCAATCTTTTCGACTTCGGAGCAGCAGATATCTCTTTGCAATTATTATAGAAAAAATTAACACACTTCTGTATGGTTGGGCTCTTCATTTCCATATGTTCAAGCCTTTTCGTGGAATGAATTTTCAAATGTATTTGTGATATAAATAACCCATAATTTATGTAACTTTAGAAGAAGAAAAAAATCTGGTTGACACAATTAAAATCAAATTTATTTGTTAGTTATTGAAAATATTACAATTCTATTAATATTATAAGCGTGGATTACGTAAAAAAGGTTTCTATAACAAACAATCGAGCAGACAGCTCGAATCCATTCTAATCGTATAACATCTTTATAAAGAAAAAGAGGAAAAAACAAACTGTTGGTTTTCTGCATGTAAACATAACACGTAGAAAAATCGACGACAACGTTTTATCAAAGATTGTTGGAAAAATGTGCAGCAAAATAGAAACACAAACGAAAAAATCAAACTAACAAACCATATAAACGGCTAGCAACAAAAGACTAAATAAATATTTACTGTTTTAATTTTCCCTTTTTTTTAAACCGGTTTAAAGAAAGTGCATGTACATATTCCAAGTTCGTTGAGTATTGCTGATCAAATAGCGTCAGTCAAGTCAGTTTAGTTTTTTTTTCATCAATTCATTCATTCATTGTACTGGCTTTATTTTACTCATTGACAATTTCTATTTAAAAAAAATGCTTTTCTCATAGAGTACGGCAGCATCACGGAAGAATGTAATATATGTTTTTCATTCAGTTGGCCATTCAAATCGGCATGCCGAAATATAATTTTCATCAATTCTTATATCTGAATCATAAGTATATTTTTTTTGGGTTTTAATGACAGTGTAAACGTTTTTAATCAGCGTCAAAGATAATTGTTGAGTTCGTCCGACAAATAATTGATAGCCCGTTTATTTATTTTACTATTCTCTTTTACTCTCAAGAGAATAAGTGTTTGTTTTTGCATTCAAATATATTTTCGATAATCGTTCAAGATGTAAAAGGGAGAGAGAAAAAAATGAAAGGAAACAGCATGCGAGATAGACGAATCGTTTCCATACACATATACAAATAACGTGCACTGAAAAAACAAACCGAAGCGAGGAACGTAGAAAAAAGCACACTCAGAAAGAATGACGTTAAAATATTCACAGCGCATATGAAAGACAAGGGCAATCAAATGCTGGCCAGCACACCGTATGCATATATATGTTTGAACAGAAAATACTCGATTGTCTTATTTGTTTTTATAGGCGGAATATCTGAAACGAAATTAAAGCAAACTAATTGCAGTGAGAGATACTTTTATATTTTTCTATTCTCTTTCTTTCGAGACTTTATCGTGGAATTTCTTTCGTATTCGGTCAGTATTGATAAAAATATGAAATTGTGTGGATTCAACAGCAGAACGGTTAATTTACATATATTTTTAAAAAAGGAACCTTAAATTTCTTCGGATTTTTATACAGTTATGAATTTAGTTTACGATCGCTCGTTTAATTAGTATCAAATCACAGATTTAAAAAAAAATTGCCGGCTGCAAAGCATCTGTGCGGAATATATATTTCATTTGGCATTTGAATAAAACAAAATCGATCATTCAACGATACTTTCACTACAATGTAGGGTGGCGCTCTTGCCAATGCCATAAACACCATTTGTCAATGTTGATTAAGAGAAGTCAAGTTTTACAAATCGGATGGAAACTCAAAAACACAAAGCCGTTTTTTTTTCTTGTGTTTCCTCTTTAAATTCATCAATCAGTGACTGAACCGTGTGTATGTTACATTTTGTGTCGTATAAAATGACTTTTCGCCTGTGTCCGTGTCCCTTTCCTTCCATTCGGATCAATTTGATTTCACTGAAAAACTAAATACAATAAATGATTTGGTTTGCCTTAAATTTTCTTGTACTTCATTGTAACTGCGGCGTGCCGAGATTCGATGTTGTTTCGGTTTGGCACGAGGCTTATGCATAGAGTGGCTTGTCGACTGTGCTTGCGGTCGTCACTAGAAGCGACGTAAAGTGGGAGATCATTCAAATAAAGCAACAGAGAGAGTAATGCAAGAAGAGAAGTAGAGTTGGCATCGCTGCTGGTCCATCGGTCTATTCGTCGTCGATAAATGAGAATAGTTTGTCTTGTGGCTTAAAATCGTGAACATTGTCAAAACGTGTGCTTGTTCGCGCATAAAATATTGTGTATTCATTTTATCTGGAATCCCAGAGACACTTCCATTCAAAAAAGTGAAAAAAAATAAAATAATTGTGAACCGAAAAAAAAAATTAAAACGAAAAACATATTCGGTGCCGTGTGGTAAACACTTGTCAAAGCTTCCATCGTTTTCATCATCAACATCATAATCCGTTAAAACATCCAAGATATACAAAACGCGAACACCATTCAATAAAAAGCTGAAAGCTACGGAGACAGTGCAAGAGAGCAGAATATCTAATGGAGTGATTAGTGTGTCGATCGATGATTATTGATCAATAAGATATTACGATACATGGTACGCATTTCAATTAATCGCACGTCTATTACACACTGCTAGGCATTCGATGCAATTCAAGTTGATTGAGTTTGTTGCAGCGGGCAGAGAGAGAGAGAGAGAAGAAAAAAAAATAACGTGATTCATTAATCACAACAAATGACTAAAATGGACTTTTATACAGTTTTGTACGTGTGCACACACTTAAGCACTGCCATTGCTTGTCTACCCGGTTCTTTAAAATCGAGTCGAGAAAATTGCCGTCATAGTGAAAAGAAAATATTGGCTAATTGAAAGCGATAAATGTCAACGGTTTTTTTTCTTCTCTTTGTCACTAAAAATTGGCGAATCATTTCATATCTTCTCTTTTCAAACGGCAACAACTCATAATAATGGAATGTAAATTAGATGACCAATGAAATGAATTGAATCAATTTGGAGATATATTTATCGGTGGCTCGATTCTAGGTCTTGTTATTTGTGCAGAAAAACAAGAAAAAATAATTTCGTTTATCGAGATTGAAAAGTGAAAATAAAAAAAAAAATGCACCAAGTTTCTCTTTCATAGTTTCGTCATTTTGATCAACTGTGAAGATGGTCGATTTCTTATCTTAGATATTTTATATTCTGGTCAATGTGTGATACTCAAAAAGAATAAGAAAAAAAAGAAACATCGTTACAGACAATCTCTTATTTTTCTCATTGTGTTTCAGCCGGGATCATGTGTTTTGTCACATCAATTTGTGTGATTAAAGTACATCACTAAGTCAACACACATAAACTAAATCGTCGACACATTTCGTGTTGCACTTTTAAAACTAAAGAAAGATAAAGGTGGAAAAAGTGATACAGAAAAAGCCAATGTCACGCAAAGCATATGGAAATATATTGTATATATAGTAAAAAATAATTGCTTGAGATAAAAATGTGTGTGAATATTTATCATATTTTACTTCATTTTCAAGTGGGCACAATAGATGATATAGAACAGAACAATTTGATTTAAAAGCTTATCAAACAATATATATCTTCTTGAAATGTCGTTTTTTCTCTATCTATACGGTGAACGTAATTCGGGGAGTCTTCAAAACGTTTTTAAAAAAATCTTTCATTTTGTGAACAATATGAATTTTATATGGAAAGAAAGCATTTCCTATAGAAAGTAAGAGCTTATAATTGGACAAGACATTGTTGAAAACAAAAGTTAATTTTTTTTCATAATTGTTCGCATACATATACATACATTTGAAACATTTAAACAATAATTGTTTCTTCTTTGAAAATTTTTGACAGGTGTTGACCCTTATGTAGAAAGTACAAAGAAACAAAAAAAAGATTGAAACTAATTGTATCAAAAGTGAAATAAAGACAATGCACCGTCATACATCAAATAATACTAAAGATCACGTAAATTACTATAATTATTGAAAATTATTGACCATTAATAAATTCACGCCATAAAATTGTACTCATAACATAATTTTTTAGTCATTTATTTTTTTTAATGCGATCGCATATGCCTTGTCTTCTTTTCCTTTATTTCATCTTTCACCGCCGTTCGGCCGATTACCATGCACCAAATATATGTTTTAAATGTATATGGCCATAAATTTCGTGTTTTTTTTTGCATTCACTTTTTTTTTCTTCATTCGTTTTGCTGAAGCGCACATTAGTGGTCTGTTTAAAAGTTGATATTTTAAATGGGATCATGCTTAGCCACATGATGGCATGTGAGATGTATCAAACTATAGTATATCTTGTTTCAGTTCATGTTTCTTTCTGACAGCGCACTTGCTATGAGAATTATGTGTTTACATCGAATGGAGAGAAAAAAATATTTTACATGAGAGAGGTTCATCGGAAAAAACGAAAGTGAGATTTCATGCTTCCGAGCATTTTTTTTCTTCTTTTCAATTTGCGCATGTGGACAGACTATTTTTTTTTTTTTTGCACAATCAAAACGGTTTCCAACATTGGTGGCAAAACGATATATAGACACGATTTCCATTTATGGTGTCGTCACAAAAACTGTAAACTTCATTTATGTAGCGATTTCGAATTGGGAATGAAAAGCCCACATATACACGCACACGTAAGCGCAATCACAAGTATTAATGATATGGCAAATACATTGCACAAATGTGTTCATAACGTCTGCCTGAGGTTGTTTATCGATATCAACATGCACTCAAAATGGATATTAATTTTTTTTCCACAAAGTGTATCTTTGATATACATTCTGCCTTCGTATATAATCTGCTTTTTTTATTTTCAATAAATCGCCGATCTGAATTATAAATAACATTGCAATCATTTTGATTTTTTTTTTAAACATTTTGACTGCATTTATATCTCTAGATAGATATAGTAGAACCGATTCTCAGAGAAGTCAATTTTTGAAAAAGTTGGGCGAATTTTGCGCCCCTGCTTTGAATAGTAAGCTTCTTGTATCCTTTTATGAGTGTGTGAAGGTTTTTACATCGAATGGCTATGTTTTTAATGTTTACAGCATTTGTGTAAAGACTTGATACAAACGAAAAACAATATTCAACTATTGCCTGATGATTCACGGCGGACAATTGTTCGAAATCCACCTCAGTGTGATGGAAAGTCGACTCATACTCCATGAAATTTGCAAAATCCTAATTTAGAAGGCCTTTCGCCAGGATTGATGTGTGGTCGGAAAGCCCCCGGTTTGATATCGTTTTCTATTCATTATGAATCACTTGAACAAAAATAAAATATCTAAGTGGAATTTGGCAACATTTTGAAATCAGTTACCATCACAGAATTTCAAAAAATGATAACATAGCAATTGGCTAAGTTCAGTCGTTTCAGTAGTTTTTGATTTTAAAACTTCCCATAAATTTGACGCTCTAGTGCAACATGAATCGCATTTGTATGAAATTATTAATATGCAGGCCATGCAGGGTACTAATCACCCTAGGAATATTTTAATTAACTTTTCCAAAGTTCAATTGTATATAGATATTTTATAAATGTGGAAACTTTCATTGCAGAAAACAATCAATGAGATTAAATTCTTCCATTTAAATTCGTCTTCATTATGATACGGTCTGATGATGACTTTTTTAGTTTTATATTCAATTATTTTGGCGTACAAGGGTTTATCAAAAGCAGAAAGACAAAACAAAGGTAAGACAAACATTTACTTTCTTTTAAGCAAAAAAAAACGAACATTTTACTTTATCCGCCAAACATATTGTTTGTTGAGCATATTTTCACGTTGGCGACTTATCAAAATATGTTTGAAAATGATATAGGGTGTTTTCTATTACTCACAGAAAAATTTACGGATATTTTCAACCCAGAAATCGGTACAAAACCCAGCGGAATGATTTTTGGGTATAACTCAACCGAAAAATCGGCTGAGACTTAAAGTTTGAGAATTTTGATGAGACTTAAACACAGAGCTGTCATTTTAAAACTCTGAAAGTACGTGAACACGGTAGTATGTACGCTCACACGACATCGCACACAATGTTCATATTTTCAATGTGCACGCACATTTACATAGAAGTTTGACAATTGCCGAAAAATTGAATTTTTAAAATTCAGAACCAATATTTAAAATGTCAAACTTCTATGTAAATGTGCGTGCACATTGAAAATATAAGCATTGTGTGCGATGCACACAGTCGTGTGATCGTACGTTCTACCGTGTTCACGTACTTTCAGAGTTTTAAAATGACAGTTCTGTGTTCAAGTCTCATCAAAATTCTCAAACTTTAAGTCTCAACCGATTTTTCGGTTAAGTTATACCCAAAAATCATTTCGCTTGGTTTTGTACCGATTTCTGGGTTCAAAATATCCGCAAATTTTTCTGTGAGTAACCTACAGTCTTCTATATCAAGTCTACTTTTATTCTCAATACATTTTTAGCAGATTGTGGAATGAAAATATTTCGTCGTGAGCCACGTTACGATCTATATAGTAGTCGATCATCGAGAATAATTGGTGGGTCATCATCAAGCGAGGGTGAATTTCCTTGGCAAGTTTCATTAGAAGTGGTAAGTGTAGAGAAATCATAAAAATGATCGGAGGTGACATTTCCCAGATTGGGGATGAAAAATTTGTTGATTTGGGCCCAGCAAACAGAAGAGCAAAGTATTTTGGAAAATCAAACATGAAATGATTTTTTAATTTGTTTATTTTTTTTTTTATATTTTCAAGCTACATCCAATTTACGGGTTTCTCGGTCATTGGTGTGGTGGGGTACTTATTGACAATTCTTGGGTGATTTCTGCAGCACATTGCATTAATAAGTAATATTCTTGATAGAATATCTATAAATAATTATATTCATTCGTCGATTATCGTTTATCTCATTTCGCATGACACTGAAGTGATATATTTAATTTGCCGTTGCCGGCATTGTGGACAGCGGTTTTAGGTGAAAATAATCGACACTTTGAATCGGGCCATGAACAACGGATTTCAATCGAAAAAATCATCACACACAATCATTACTCACATTATGATCACGACATCGGTATGTATCATCTCAAGTCTCACATACCAATTACTCATTACCCTCATCGTTTATCTCTCTTTTTCCACCAACAAAACCAGTTTTATTAAAGTTAGCTGAAACTGTCAAATTGGACACATTTATCAATAAAATCTGCTTGCCAATACAAAATCAATTTACATATTTACTCGACGAACATTTTTTTAACAATGTGATTGAAGATAGAAAATTCAGCATCAACAAGTAAGTTTATTTTACTATGCTATGCCCAGTGTCCACAATAAATTAAATCAAAGTAGAAATATATCTAATATAAAATGAAAAAAAAAAAAAAACGAATGGGAAAATGTGTCAGCCGTCAAATGAATTTTTGAACTGAATGAATGAAGAAAACAGTCGAAACAAAGAAATGCTTATGCTTAGATGATTTTACATCAACTTTACAGTTTCAATTGTTTTAATTTTGTGATGAAAGTAAATAGATTCTCGGTCTTAATGTTTTTATTGTGCATTGTTTATTTCGATGTTGTTTTTCGTTTGTATTATTTTTAGAAAAATTCAACCGGCTCGGAGACGACGAATAAATGACAGATTTATGCGCTTTGATAATGAAGATAAGCATCAAGAGAAAAAAATGTATTCAAGTTCAGACAGTTTATACGATGGTTTGGACAGTAAATTGGTAAGTAAGCTCGCAATTTTTCATCTTCTTTCTCTTCATCATGCGGATCGTGCTCATTCATTTATCGAAGACATCGTCGATAAAATCACGGCATAATATAAAGAGAGAAAAGTGTGCAATTTGTTTATAATTCAAGACAACTCAGCTCATTTTAATTATTTTTTCTCTCTCTCTCTTTCTCTCTTCCGCTCACTCTCTATTTCAATTTTTTCCTTGATACACCAAATACGAAATTTCAACGTATGTAAGGAACCACCGTACCACGAATGTTATGCAACAGGTAAAATTACCAATTTTCATTACAATTGTTCTTTGAATGATAAATTTATAAAAAAAAAATTCGAAGAAAATCGAAATCTAATTCAATCAATTTACAACAGGTTGGGGAATGAGCTACGAAGATGGTGGTGAAAAGTTATCGGATAAACTCATAAAAACAAGAGTGCTGATTTTCGATAATGAAAGGTATGGTTAATTTCTTGTGTGTCCGTCTGTGATATGTGCATTTCAGTCATAAAAATAAAAAAAGAATGAGAAAAAACAAGTTTTAAAAAAACCGCACAAGTAAATGAATCACGTATCACTGTCGGGGCACATTAATTTCAATGTAGATCGCACTGAAAACTTTCGTTAATCGCGATTAATCGACCAAATGTGATTTATTAGATGTCAAGAAGTTTATGGTGAACATGTAAATATACATGAGGGTCATTTGTGCGCTGGTGCGTTAAATGGGAAAGGGGGAACGTGTGTTGGGGACTCTGGTGGACCGTTGAATTGTCGACTCCATAAGGATGGTCCCTACATCTTAGCGGGAATCACCTCATTCGGGTCAGGATGTTCGAATAAGGGTTACCATCCCGATGTGTTCATTCGAATTTCCCACTACATGTCATGGATAGAAAAAACAATATCACAAAATTAAGACATTTCAATTTTGTTTTTATTTCTAAAATAATTTATTTATTATTTAGAATTTAATTTAGATTTTAATGTTGTTCACCAATTAATATTGTTTAAATAAATTATTGCCCTATTGTTATATGCTGCCAACCGTTTTTCTCTATCTAGAATATTATTATTTGAAATGAAATTCCGGTGAGTATCACTGGTTTCGCGTTTGAAATGTTAAGCAATTCGAAGCGTTTCAGTTGCTTTCAAAGCTATCGCTTTATAATGCCATCTGTAGTTAAAGCTTGACTTCAACTCATTTAAATAAAAGCATTGATGCTTTGAATACTTTATCTTAACCGATCTCTTTATCTTTATTCATGTTAAGCAATCCATGAGATGGAATTCTGTAAACATTCACTGCTCATTTTTAACTAATGAAATTCCTTTAATGACAGACGACTGTTTAAATACAAATACAGCCGACGTTCGAAAATCAAAGTCTTCTAGAAAACTAAAGACGTTTCTGGGCTGAGATTCTTCTGAAAAAACACATGGAATGAAGCATAATTTATTATTTTCATAAAAAAAATTAAGTATATTATATTTTTTGAACTGATTTGTTTTGGTGACAACATCAACAATGTAGGTTTTTCGTGCCATTTTTTACTTATCAATTTTACATAGTTCGTGCAGAAATCTAAAGAATTCACAAATCTAAAGTCTCTGAATAACAAATGACCAAATGACTTAAGATTTTCGAACGTCGACTGTAATGAAGATTACCTCGATTATATAATAAAACTGAAACATGTCGAATTGGGAGTATTATTTGAATGCAACCATGTTTACTGCTTGTTTAACATTTGATACTATATTCACTGATTAAATTGCGATTGTTGTATCATTTAAAACCAAAAATGGTGTAAATTAGCAAAAATAATATGAACAATTTTCATTGTTCATTATGCGCGTCCATTGTGTTCTGGTTACATTAATTTGCCCAAAAATATCTGGCGTAACGGAATTGGAAGGTAAGATGAAATTTTAGAACGAAACCGAAGGCTTTTAGAAAAGACATTAGCTCGTGACAAGAATTGTATATAAAGTCGTCCGAATTATCTGAAAATACATTAGTTCAGTTGCAAGTTTCAACTAAGTCTCAACAAATATTCAAAAACTCACAGTGAAATAAAAAAAAAACTCAATCTACAAAAATGCATTTCATCAAAGTAATAAACACATAGTGTTATTTAATCGAAAGTGTAATTTCTATAAAATTTTACTTTTTCGTCAACAATAGGTTTTATTTGTCGTTGGATTCGTAGTAGGATTCGTGATGGCCAATCCACTTTTGGTTGCCAATCGTAACCTTGATGAATATGTGAATGTGCGTATTGTCACAACTGTCGAATTAATTTTATCTGTTTTTGATTGATTATGTTTTTGAAATTCTTGTAAATAATTTTTAATTTTATTAATCATATTATAAAATACATTAGACATATCCATCATACACCTACAATTATGCCGTATCGGATGATTTAACCGGCGATGTTAAGTCACAACAGGAAACACGTGACGGTGACATTGTCAAGGGGCAATATTCTCTCGTTGAACCTGATGGCTCGATTCGTACCGTAAATAATAATTGATTTAAGTATCTTTTTACACTCTCACTTTAAAAATGTGTGTGTGAATCATAGGTGGATTATGAGGCAAATGACATCAGTGGATTTAATGCGATCGTGAGTAAAAATGGACTTTCAATTCATGGTGTTGCTCAGCCCATTTTGGTTTCACAACCACGTGCCATCGCCAGATCGTATGCCGTACAACGCAGCCCATTGAATAGAAACATACTCGTTGCCTACGGAAATTTACAACAACAAATACAACAATCGCAACGAACTCCAGCCAGCACTGTTGAATACATACAAACAGCAAACAATCAATTCTTACCATACAATTCCATTTCATACGGATATAATGGCCAAGGATCACTCTGGTAATTTGGAATGCCTGTTTTTTGTTGTAGAAAAATACACACAAAGATCACATCATAAGGATATATTTCTATTTCTTTACATTATTACCTGTCCGTCCAAATCGAAGTAATTTATAAAAAAAAGCAAATATAAATTTGTATATTCATTTCTGTAATAAATTTGAATATCCCCGTATCCGCTAATTCAACTTGAGCATTGTTTTTCTTTTTACCAATATAAGTTGTTTCGATGGGATTTATTTTGATTGCTTGAAGAAATGAGCTGATAAAAAACATAACAAGATCAAGATATCAATAATAACAGTGAATTTGACAAAATCTATCTAAAAATTTGGTCAATTATCATCGTAAAATGCCGTAAATACAGTGAGAAGTGCTCTAGAATAAATTCATCATATCATTTTCGTCTCTGATCAATGTAAACCATGAATCCATTTTGTCAATCACGTATTCCGATTGTTTTAACCAAACATAAGATTTTGATCTGTGAGTAAATGGTATACTGTCTAAGACAATAGACCGTAATAGACATTGACTGATTTTATCTTAATTGAATTGTTTGAAAATTCTCACTCGGTGGAATTATCATTTACCCATACAAATGCGCTTTGACCGAAAAATAGAACACACATAAAACCCATTAGCCGTCACTATGTTCACAGCAACCAAATAATGGCCAACGAAGAATGGTGCCATCTTAACGTCACAGTTCAGTAAATTCATGACATTGGACACCACATGTTGCGTTTATTTTTTTTCTTTTGTTTTCAATCGCATTAGAGGTCTAAATTTCGATATTGAATCGAATTCCAATATTATAATATGTTTTTAACAAAAAAATGGGCTGGAAAAATGATGTCAGATTCGGTGTGACGACAGAAAACTGTAACCAGCAACCAAACACTTAAGTATTTGCAAGTCATTTTTAACATATTACAACACGTACAATTTCTGACTTTCATATGTGTGGCATTATTATTCCAATGGCCAAAAGACCATGTTATTTCATTGCAAACGTCACAATTATTCTGATGAGAAATGATTCAGGCTGACGAATAGATCCATGGCACTTTTCTTTACTGTGTGCCAATTGTAGCGGTATTACGACATGTATAATTTATTCAATAAACCACAAAAAAAAATAAACAATGGCAACGAGCGCAGTGTGTGTATTCATTGTAGGAAAATAAAATTTTCATCCACGACCTAACCATCCGATGCAAGGTTCATTCAAATGAATGAAAAAATTGGGCGAAAAAGCACGAATTTCTGTTGGCTGCTTTGAAAACTTAATATCTTGATATGTTGTATGTAAAACGAAATGTGAAACTTAACTGAGTGCTCCAAAATGAAAAGAAAGAAACAAGGAACGAAGAAGAAAAAATTGCATCGAAATAATTATTAATTAACCCTCTATCAGTCAAAATTTTAAAAGTGAGGAATATAGGTGGGAATTTTTCTGGTATCTTTAGGGTGTAAGAAACCTAAAAAATACCATCACCAAGTGATTTGCGTCTTTTGGCAGGTAAAAAAAGGTGAATCGTGCCTCAGGGCACTTATAGCAGTGTGCTTTTTTGTAGGAGACAATAATTTTCTTCCTGCGAGTTATGAATTTTCACACTAAACTGATCTGTCAAACTAAACGAAACGCCAGAATGAGTTCGCTAATGAACCAAAATGACAGTTGACTACAGGCCTCCATTTCATTTTGAGGAAAACAAAAATTTACGACGGCCGCGAATTTTGTGACACCTGCCGGCACTTTTAGTAGATAGAGGGTTAAAATAGATAATTAGATATTCAAGTTTTATTCGTGCATTTACATTTATTTCTTCTTAATATTAAGCGCATACGCAAAACTATCCACTTTTGCATCTACCTAAATCTATGGTGATATGTAAAAAAAAATTTGGTGTCTGTGTGTGCATGTAGAACCAAATTAGAAGATATTGAGGTCCTACGTATACCATTGAGCGGCATATACAGAGTGAAACATAATGGATGACGATGTTTCTCCCACATAGACTTGGATTTTGTCATTTATTTTAATTGTATGGTGTAGAGGATATATACCTTCCAACAAGGCGTCAATCTTAAATTTCTTTCTTTCTTGACTCGTCCTTTTTTAGTCATCACGACAACTAAAACCAATCGATCTTTATCAGAAAAAAGTCCGGACTAAAAAAGTATAAATGTATAGTAAAAGAATTTATCAATCTTGAAAGACTGAGTAGGCATACGATATTTACCACCACCAGCAATGATCGACAAGCGATAACTTCGGTAAATGGAATTTGATAAAAAAGTAGTTTTTTTACTTCTTTAAATAATGTCGTTCAAATGAAAATTGTAAAATTAATTTCAGCATCAAGTCCATTCCATGCGTTAGTAGGTGAGTAGAACCAAACCCGGAGCGGAATTCGACCGTGAACTTATGCCTGATAATGGACGATTTTGCGTTAAAAAATTTTCCTACTTATATAAAGACCTTTTCCAGATTTAGTTTCACACATTTCACACCATCCAACTCAATGTCAAATACTAATGCAGACAAGCCAAAAAAAATCCATACAAATCAAAGAAATACATGCCATACGCAATTTAATTATAAGTAAGTGTCAGGTATTTTCTGAATAAATAAAAATTAAGTTATTAATCGTACTATCTGCGGATTATTAACCAAAAAATAATAATAATATTTTTCTATTCAAATACACCATTGGTTTTTTGTATCTTCGATTTTATGTTGATTTTGGTAACAAAAGATTGTATCAGAGCTTGATTTCCTCATTTCGCTTTACGGTCCACGTTTTTTTTTTTTTAACTTGCGATCCGCTATTCGAATAAGAAAAATATTAGCTAACGGAAAATGAGTGAAGTAATTGTTTTAGGCGTGTTTGTAACTTGAAACTCAAGACGGTTTTACACTGAATGAACACACCAACAAACATCGAATGGACAGTTTACATTCGACGCGTAAATACAATTGTTACGTTGATTCTCCGATGCTATGAACGGCTGATGCTGACATTGTCTCTGAATGGAATGGAAAATATGTAAACGATAGAGAGACGGTTAAGAGAATCGCAAACAATATACCATACAAAGTCTCGGTGCATAAACGCCTATTCTTTTATGTTTGTTACTGTTGTGTGTTTTTTTGCTGCTCTATCTCACATGGAACGAACCAAAATCGCAGCGGCAGTGAAGGTCAAGCTTGCTTTTATTTTCATTTGTATATTTAATTCTTGGGTGCAATGTTTCACTGTACATCAACTCATTTATCATTTTTAAATATATAAATCGCCACAAATTAAATTATATTTATTATTGTTCAAGTTCAAAAATGGTCAAGTCTTCCAATATTTTTGATGATTTATTTGGTCCAACATTTTAGATTTAATCTTTCACTCATGATTTTTTTGTTATGTTGATTTATCATCAAAAGATTTGTTTGAATAAAACCATATAATATGGATTTCTGATTTAAATCCGGTAGGTGCTGTCATTCGATGATATAATTCGGAATGAAATGTTCCGAATGTAGAACTCTGAACCAATTGATTTCAGCATATTGTTCACTGCATACTTTCTAAATAGAAATTACAATTATTTTTACTTCGAATTTTGATTCGTTTTACAATGTGATGCATTTCGATGCAAGCATTCAATTTGCGAATGTAAAGGATTACTTCATTGCAAATAGATACAAATCAGAATGAGTTTATTCATTACAGCAGAGATGGGAAGACATTTTTCTCTAGTTGAGCTTTTTATTTCCACATTCGTAACATTGCTACCTTGCGTTTGATTTGACAGTAAAAAGAAAGATATTTCTGCAACCTTTTGAATGTGTGAATAAATATATTAATTATTCATTCACAAACCACGGAAAACTTATCTACAAACTATTTTCGTTGCAAAATTGATATCAGAAACGTTTTATTTCAAATGATTTCGTCACTCGTTCTTCACCTTGATGTAGGTTTTTGAGTTGATTGTATTTTCTCCCAGCTGCTATGTTTTACTGTTTTGATTTTGTAATTTATTTTTTATAGCAAAACAAAAAAGGCAAAATGAAAGAAAACAAAAAATAACCAAAATGAAATATTAATATTTCTTCACAATTGTTTCCATTATCTTTTCAGTTTTCAAGCCAATATTATGGTCACAGTATGACGAACCATTATTATATATCATCAAGAGAGTTTGTTTCAACATGCAGTCAATGAGAACGCTCTAAACATATCATTCGTCATATCAATGAAAACAAAATCTTGTTGTGAATATTGCTTGATGTATTATCAAGTTTTAAAATGGTTTTCGGTAAGTTTGTACCACGCATAACTCAAGCACGGTAGCAGCCATCAACTTGAAACCTATACTTTCGGATCTCTGAGCTCAATCCACAAATGACTTATTTTTCTTTTTGAAAAATGTATCCAGGAAAATATTTTCCTTGGAACTGGCGTTTTTCTAGGAATTTGTATGGGAATCTGAAACTTGTTTTAAAAAAACATCATGCGTAATGCAAAAGAATAAATACCAAGTGAAAAAAAATATGTACAAGTGCATTTGTATGAACGGTTAATATGCAACATCAACAAATATTTCGATTCTTTGTAAATTTCAAATCCAAATTCGATGAAACCTTTTGTATAAATCAATTTATTGGTTGCATCGATTGATTTTTGAATGTCGCGCTCACGCTCAAAGTAGTAGTCTAGTTCGTGCCTCAATTGAATCGAAGTCTTTCATAAATTCCAAATAATTTTTCATTGATCAATAAACGAACAAACAATTAAATGAATCAATGCAAAATAAAAACCATGTTTCATTTTTTTTTTAAGTAAAGAATGAACGAAAAAGAAATCGCACGATCCAAAAATTTCGTAGAATAATTTTATGCACGCGCTTCAATTGACCTCGATAGTAACAAAAAAATATGTCACGTTGGTACGGTTTTACTTATTGAAAATATATACAATTTTCGTACTTTAAAAATATAATATCGAGAATACAGCCATTCTACTAAATATAGGAGAAGACCGGGTAAAGCGACGCACTTTTTTCTTTTACTGTACTTTAGATTGTAAGTTCGAATTTTCATGTCTTGAATTTGGCACGAGTAACCAAAAACTATTTTTTGTTGCTGTCGTGTGATACTGAAAATGTTGTATTTATGTTGTCACTATCAAGATACCTTGAATGTGTCGGTTTATCCCGTCTTCCCCTACATATTTCTTTAATTGCATGAAGTAAAAATGCTCATTTAACAATGGTAACTTACTTTGGATATGTTCCACGAGTGTCGAAAATGTATCGCCAAAATAATTAGCTGGATAAAGCCTTCCATATGAAGTTATTGAATAGCAAAATAAAAAGGTCTAATCTTTAAGTAGTAAACAAATCCATTCCACCGCCCAAATGCTCATGGTCCAGTGGAAACAAATTAATCGTGACACCCATTTGAAGAACAAACGAAAAACATCAAAAGTAATGTGAATCATTCTCACATATCAAATTTCATGAATAAAAAAAAAAACAAATATACCATTGAAACGCAACATACATACAAGCTTATGCGCACTTTGATCGCATTAAAATGGTATCAAAGCATTTTTTCTCTCATTTCCATATAAATCCAAAGTGGTACTTGTGATATAGATAACCAGAAGACAAATGAAAAGAGCCAACGATTTAATGTGAAAACTTTTGTTTGTAATAGTAAGTACAAAAATCAACGATAACAATAGCAAAAATTGGTGTTTCGTTAAAGATAACAATTGGACATTGATTTGTGGAGCTCAAGAAGGCAATAATCGCATAGCATTCAATCAAGGTCATTTTAAACTGAGGTTTATTTATTGAAGAAAAAAGCACTTCTCCAGTAATTGATATTGTTGGCGAACAGTAGTGACATTAAGCGTGAAGTATCCGAATAAATGTGATCAATGAATGTCTGAGAAAATTCAATAACAACAACGGCACCAGCATTATGAATGTAAAATGTATGAAACTTTTGAAGCCCAGTTGCTTGAAACTCTGTCATTAAAAGCGATTTCGCAAAAGAAAAAAAATAATAACAATGGCAATGCGAACAGTTTTTTTTTTTTTTTTGAAAATAGAAATGAAATAAACACATGGAAATAAATGCTGAACTTTTCTAATGCGCATAAAAATCGTAGTTTTGGTTTGTTAGTTTGTAAAATGGACGAGTGAGCTTATTTATAATATTTCTTGGCCATCATGATGCGTTTTAAATACGTTTGATTTTAACAAAAACAAAAATTCAACTTTTGCATGTACTCAAAAAAGTTCAGCATGTATTTTCCGAAATTCAAATAAACTCTTAAATATGATCGCTATAATAAAAATGCGAATAGTTTGAGAATTTATTTGGATACTAAGAGTTGGATTTTGCAATTTCCTATTTTTGATCCAACCTGTACATGTAACAATAAGCGATGATTATTGCAATTGCGATGAGAGGAAATGTTGAAGTAAATAAAAATATACAGATTTGTATATATTTTTTAACAGAAATCAAATATGATTAAAAAAAATTCTAATTGACGCGATTACAAATGTAAAATCGAATGTTGGGTTTAATAAGTCATATTTGTACCATTCATTCTTTATATTATTCGAAATACCAAAATTAAGGCGATGTTGAATACAAAATGCCCACCCAATTTTCACATCGACATCTGTGTTTGGGTAAGACTTGTGCATTGCGTCGTTGCTTGTACTCACTTCGTTATAAAATGTATTGAAATTTTTGGGTCACAATTCATTTAGTTTTGTCAAGTTCATGCAATTTCATAAGAAGTGCACATGGTCAGAAATTTCAAATTCAAATAAAAAATTAGAATCATAATGATAAATATGTTTACCATTTGTTTGTTTTTGTTTTTGGTTAATGAAGAAAACGATTTCGCAACAAAGGTATCTTAGTGCGTAGTGGTGTGCGGATGTGATGCACCATGCATTGTTCCAGCAATTCGAATGTGATTATGAAAGATAAAAAACGACTGAAAAATATATAATTTTGTAAATACAACACATTATGGGTTGGCTTTAATAAATAATTACCGGTGAGCACATATGTAATTAAGTCATCAACCACCTTTGTATTTATGTGTGCAATATCATACAATGTACATCCATCTCGGGCCGCGCACAACCGCTTTACCACTTATTCAACCGAACATGAATATATTTTACACATATTTTTTCTATTAAGTAATCTTTTAATGTATGCGACGTTTTGTCTGCGACTATGACGTAAAAGTTGTCAACAAATGTGGAAAAATGAATTAAAAAAAATTGTAATCACATTGACCACTTTTAATGGTCATCATTAATATGCTTATGTGCGGTAATTCAATGTCTAGGTCAACGAAATATGGTTCGAAGATTGTGGGTTTTTTGCATTTTTCTTCCAAAATACAACAAAAACCAACGAATAGCATAGCAAAATAACAATTGCATTCCAATCCCGATTGTGTGCCAAAAAATCAATCCATTCTCTGAAGAAGAAAAAAACACATTTTACCCTGATTATTTTGAGTTTTGTCATGCGTATTTTTTCGGAGTTTGAATATGATTTAATAATAATACAGCCATCCAGAAATTTCATTCATAATGTTGTGGATTGTAAGTTGCTTCATGATATTCGCTTTTTTCACACAAAAATTCACACGTGATTTTATCTACGAATTATGGCCGAATGCAGTAAGGTTGGCCATCTTTGATTACCGCTGAGAATTTTCTTTCCAATGCCAAAAATGTGCAACCCTAGAATGTAGTTCGTTATCATGATCAAATATATCATGAATTAAACTAAAAACTACACACTGTCTATGAAATCTGGGCTTGTCGTCAACTGACGTCATCATCGCTAATGGTTTCAATCGCATATTTTAGTTCGATTTTCGATTTTGTGACAACAACAATTCAGCTCTTTATTCAATAAGTTGATCTGAATGTAGACATCTAAGGTACTAAAATCAGTTGGATCCATCAGCATTGATACTATCAGCTGACAAGAAACCCGGATTAGTATTCAATTGAACTGGATTTTGAATGAAATTGAAAATTATTGAATATGTCAAGCAAATTTTGGTGCCATCGAATGAAGGAATCAGCAATTCGGATTGAATCAAATGAATTCGATCATGTTGTAACGTTTGAAACGCATAATGTTTCATATTTTATTCTATTTGTTGTTTTATTTTGACATTGCACGATGCATCCGAATTGATGTTTATTCAATTTTTAGTGGTATGCAGTTTTAATTTCAAAATTGGCGATCATTATTGATGCAATCGACACATTTCAATAATAATTTAATTTGTTAAGAAAAAACATCACTATGACAAACAAACAATGACACACAGAGAACAATGGCAGAAATGTATCGTTCAATTTTAAGTCCTTCAAATTTGAAACATCGATTGAGTTAAAAGAAAAAAACAATCTAAATACATAGCTAAATATGTACTACCGAATCACAGACACGATAAAATTAACACAAAATAATTATCGCCATAAATTATTCAAAAATATGATTATAATCATAAGAATGTGTAGTCGAGGAACATTGATCTTTTTTTATGTTTAACCACAAAGTTGAGATGAAAAAGCACACATATATATAATTCAACAAGAAACAACACTCCAATGTTGTAAACGAACGCTTGGCAAATTTATGGCTTGCAATACAAATCATATTAACCGACAAATATGAATATGCGCTGCTCCTGAAAAAAATTAATTTAAATCCAAAACAAACATTTATTGGTCTAATAATTGGGAGCGCAATTTTTCTTCTATTCCATTTCGTACTAAGCCACATTTTGTCAAGTATTTGTTCATATATATTTTTTTCTTCTTTCTCACTTACTTGTTTTTCTCACGCTCACACATTGACGTCCCATTCGTTCATTGCATGAGATCTCACCATCACATTGCCGTTACCATACTGTCAATGTATTTGCGCGCCACACACATACTCCCAAATGTGAATCGCGCACAATTGAGACTCGATACTATTTGGTCATACATTAAGTTTTACCCCTACTAATACAATATATGCCGTATGAATGAGTATCGCATGAATATGCCATGCATTGTATTCCGCTTAGAAGATTTTCCACCAACAACAATGTTGTTGTTGTTTTTTCGTATTTAGCAAAACGGTATATAAAACCGAAAATTCGGTACTTTTTTGCATTCAGTTCGTGTTCATCTCTGAAGACTATAGTCCAAACGCACTAACGCACTTCTGTTCGAATTCTATATCGCCATAGCAAGGAGTACAATTGCTAACGGTTACGTGCAAAAAAAAAAATATTTAACATAAAAATAATAGTAATTATTATATAGAGAAAATTATTTCCGTTTTTTTTTCGAAAAATATATATAATACAAAATGCAAAGTAAAATGGTGCAATTAACTAGTGCAGTGATCTTGTGTTTGGCCCTTTTTGGTCAATCGGTGATGGCGAAGCCTGGATATGCTGCAGGATACGATGTTGATTATTATGTAAGTTTGTCAGTCTTTTTTTTATTTATCGTAGAGACGGAACATTGTTAAAGAAAATAGATTTTATTCATTTTCAAATTTAACATCACAATTATTTTATTTTCTCGTGATTGAGATTTGAATCGAATTGTATATTTCTATTGAATTCCACAAAATTAAGAATAATTCAAAGAAAAAAAATTATAAAAAGAATTAATTGTATCAAATATTTATTTAAAAAAATCTATAAATTTTTGATAATTAGTTTTGGAGCGATAAATAAATTGTTATTATTTGATTTAAAATAACATAGCATGTCTTTAAATTACTCACAATTCGATTTAACTAAAGAGCGTCAAGTAAATGAAACTGAGAAATTGAAATCTAAATCACGAGAAATATAGTTGTGTATGTGTGAATCACTTATTAATTCACTCTATCTATTCAATTAATTGGCTTATATTTGCGGTTACGCGAAAGATGTGCAAATAGCAGTCAAATATTGTTATTTTACCGTTACCAACAATAATAATATTTAACGGGGCATTGTTTTTCTTATACGATTTACTTCTGCACGCACACAGTGACAACCAGTGGCAATTGCATCGACATGGCAAAAGCACTTCCAACCACAAAAACAATCATCGTAATTGAAACATGTAAAATAAATCTCCACGATAGATTTCATAAACATATATACTACATTTTTTTTCTTCTTTCTATCTAACATTAACCCAAATTAATAAATAGCGTTTCGCGTCTCTATATCACGCCGAATGCGCCGTACGCAATAATGTGAACATTCCTTATAGAGAGGGAAAAATTTTTATAATGAAAACAGTTGTTATTTTCCATATTGTTGTTCATTTGCGTACAATTTACGGTTTATTTAAAAAAAAAATCATCATCTACCTGATGTTCATCTTCTCTCACTCTCACTCTCGCTTGCTTTTTATTTAATTGTTGGTTTCTCGCTTAACGTTTTCTCACTTTCATGCATTTTCTCACTTTCGTACAAAAAAAAAGAGAGAAAAACACACACAGAAATGTACTGATCTATGTGCATAATAACGATGCAGCTTCGATTTTAAAGGTTCGTCTTTTGTTCGTCTGAATTTATTCATATCATTGATGGGGGTCAGATATGCAAACATTTAAATTGAAATGTTGGTATTTGATGCTGCATCCAAAAATTGGAACGAGCTGTGTGCATGCTATTGAAAAAACTACACACACATTTACGTCACGGATTCTTTTTTTTTCTCAAGTTTTTGGTTTTATTCACCTAATTATAGCTATTGTTGTTGAAACTAATTGTATTATTTAGATAGACTTTACGCATCATGATAAAATATCTTATAATTTGTGTGTCACTGTCATTTGTTCGATCGTTCTACTTTTTCTTAGTCTAAAAACAAAACTATCTTTTTTTATAATTCACACAGGATCATCCAAAATATTCATTCAACTATGGTGTTGCTGACCATCACACTGGCGACGTGAAATCACAACATGAAACCCGAGACGGTGATGTTGTGAAAGGTGAGAGCAATGCATTGCAAACTAAAAAAAAACACGAATTTCCTTTTGTCAAGAACAAAGCAATGGGAGAGGGACCTTCGAAGACGATTGGGAATTTCATTTCGTACAATAATAAAGAAAAAATCGTGCAACCCAACGGAGTCCATTTAAAAAAAAAACCATTGCGATACATCAAACAAAAAAAAAAAACGATTTTTTCAAGTTTAACTTTATTACATCATAATGCATTTTCATGTCATTAATTTTTCACAATTTTTTTAGCACGATGAGAGCGCGGTCTTAGATCTTTTTTTTTTAGCTAATTACATTGAAAGAGAAAAATGCGCAACCAAATAGTGAATAGAATAAATTTGTGAAGTCAAATGAACACGGTGTTTTGAAAACCGATCGATAGAGTTAAATGCTTAAGCGCTCATGTTGAGTTATTTCCAAATTGAAAACAAATTGTTGCATTTTTCGTGTACTATTCTCCCAAGATCTGTGTTTTTTGTTGTTGTTTTTTTGTTACCACAAGACAATAATAATGCATGATTGCGGTGTTCTCTTGTTCAAAGGTGGTTTTTTTTCGCCTCCCGTTTTTTCAAGTATTTGATCACACATAGTTGCCATCGTCATCGCAAAATCTTCATTCTTTTTTTTATTATTAGGCTGTTGTTCGGCTTCTATTTCGATTTAGATGATGTTTGTTTGTGAAGCATGAATGAAAACGGTTTTGGTTCATGTAGAGTAAAAACAATAATATGAATGCCAGAGAAAATTGGCTCTCAAAGACAAAATTATTTGTAAATATAATGGCAAAATGCAAATACAACAACAATCACAGCACCAACAACAACAAAAAATTAGATGAACTAATGAATAGAGGTCGATGAAGCAACTGAATAAGAAGCGCACTACAAAATCATATTGATTCACTGCTCTTTAGTATGTTGTTGTTTTCGTCGTATAGTTACCGGTGTTGTTTCTTCTCTATTTTGAAAGTACGTGAAGAAAATTAAACAACAGAAAAAAAATTCACATAAAATAGCAAATAATAAGCAAAATAATATAAAATATATATATATATATATGCCAATCGATTGTTGAAGTATAAAAGGTTAAAAGACATCAGTTAGCGTGCGAAAAAGCAATTACTAGTACTCACTATTTCGAACTAAAAAAATCGTTGATTTGTGTACATGAAAAATGATAATTCTCTCTTCTTTTACCAATCACAATTGGATAATATATAGATGTGTGTGTGTGTGTGTGTGTGTGTGTGTGTGATGTACTTTTTGTCGTTGTGTGCGCTTGCATTTGAATGTGAATATGTGCAATTTTACTGTTTGTGGCATAGTTCGGTCGGTGCATTGATTCGATGTTCTTTTCTTTATTTATTTATTTTTTTCCACCGCCACTGCTGCCGCTCTGCATCATATAACAAATGTGCATGATTCTATTTATTTGTTTACAATGTTGTTTCCTCGATCATTTCAAGATCCAGTAATATGTATATGCACAAATCCGTGGGCCAGCCGTATTGCCATTCAGAAAATGAAAGGATAGAAATTGAAATGATTTTGATGTGATGCGCGCAAATGATGTGATATTATGTGATGTGTGTGCACAGACATAAATCGAGTGGAAAAAAAAAGTGAGATGAGGAAAAGCGGCCGCTGTCATAGCCACTGTTTCGAAATTGGTATGCAATTTTATGCATAGTTATTGAGTACTAAATAGTGTGTAATGACGTGTTGACTTTTTCCATTTTCACAAAATTACCTAATGCACATCGATGTAATTATTCTCTCTCTTTATCTGAGTGCAATACCATTTAATTCGGATTAAAAATCGGTTTACCCATTGACCTATATATTCATGTTTAGATTCACATTATAGATATAATCGATTCAATATGTTTAAAATTTATCGTGCATCGAAGTCATCGTGATTTTTCGAATTTGAATTGCAAAGCCAAATACCTGTGATGAACTTTTCTCGATCCCATTCTAGTTGCTTTGGCATAAGCAGTTTATCTGATATTTGAATATGCAATGTGTGTATGTTTAATTGTACAAATACATATAAGAGGAAGGTTGTTCTTGATTCACCGATTTATTTGTATATCCGATTAATTAATTTTATATTTTGAGCATAGTTGAAAATTAATTGTGTATCATTTTACACTTTGTAGGTCAATATTCGTTGGTTGAGCCCGATGGTAGCATCAGGTATTTTTGATTTGAATAAATGTTTAAAAATGGAGTTTTTTATTAATTGTGTTTTTTTTTTTTGATAAATTTCAATATTTTAGAACCGTAGACTACACGGCAGATCCAGTTAACGGTAAGTTTCTCTCTCTCTATTTCTCACAAAACTTTTGAATGATGTGCAAATAACAGACGATTTCCTATTTAAAAGGTTAAACGATCATATATATTTGCGGAAAATGAATTATTTTCAATTTTCATAATTCCCAAATCTTCCGAAAGATTTTCGAACTTTGACTAATTTTTTTGTTCTTTTCTCCATTTTCTTGTCAGGTTTCAACGCTGTGTAAGTAATTCACATAATGATGTGTTAAATGTATTGATAGCCTGTGATAATCTCGTGTTTTATGAGATTTTTCGCAATTACAACTTTCGATTCTAATTGAATGATCAACAGAATTAAATTATACAAACTAATCCGAGATTATAAAATTTGTTTTATTTTATTTATTTTTTATAGTGTATCAAAGAGTGCACCAACCGTTCATGCACATGCTATTGTTGCGAAACCAATCGTAAAACATGTTGTGCCGACTGTACACAAGACCGTGTATGCACATCCAGCACCAGTCGGTGAGTTATAAAATTTATCTTTACATCTCTTACCAAATGCAATCAAATGCTTCTTCTTTTCTCGTATCCTGATTTCTCTGATGTCATTATTCTTTCGTGTGAACAGGCAATCATTATATTTTTATTAATCAGTGTCACTTCTTCTAAATTTTCTGTCTTCAAATTGATGTCATCTTTTCATTCTGTCCGTTATCAAACAATCTTTAGTTGTTTCATCGAGTAAATTGCATCTTTTTTTCATTTTCGAATAAAAAAATATGATTAATTTCACCAGAAATATTTTGATTTTTAACAAATTCTTCATCTCCTTCATTTTCTCCGTCGTTATATTGTGAAATGGCAAAAATGATGAATGAACGTGTTATGAATTAAAATCACATGTAATAATCATTTTCTATTTTCAAAGCGACATTTCCACTTTTGAGCACGAAACAGCTGATTCGCGCCAAAAAAGTAATCAAACAATAGTGTGCATAAAGGGGAGACGTGCGCAATTTTCAGAAAATACATGTGTGTGTGAGTGTCGGAAAAGAAGTAGCATTTATGTACACATTTAAACTATAAAACTCCACGATCACACTAAACCGCTCTAAACAGAAGAAGTTGCACACGTTATACTAAAAACGCGATTATTTAACATCAGCCATACGCCAGCTAAAGATGCCATTGTTTTATTGTTGAATGTTATTATAAATTGCGTTCCTTAATTCTCTACTTGTACAGACTGTACAAGTGTACACTGTCTCTCTGCAAAAAACCAAACGTGTCAGAGCGCTATTTTACATTTATAAATTCCGTGCTGCTTACTATGTTCCGAAAGAGTTCATCATTCATACAATTTTCATATATACATCAAAACGAAAAACGAAGTAACAGAAAAATTATTTTGTGTTATTACTTGAAACGGTTTTTCTACTTCACGTGTATGGTTTTCGATTACATTTATCTGTTGGACAGCAAGAGTTCATGCAAGACAATGTCCATTGTCTTCAGTAATATATCACACATATACTAATTCTACGCACTCTTGCACCGCAAATACATAACAGATTCTGAAGAAGAGACGGTATTTGAGAACCCACGAAAATATAATGAAAGAAACGACGAAAAAACAGCATATATATCGGCATTAGATATATGCATGGTAATGTTGTTTTTTTTTTTATATTAGCAACATTGCTAGTACATCCAACATACACATACAACAGCGGTACAAGATGCTTTAATGACTTTTTTTTATGTGTGAATACAATGTTTTGGCGTTTGGAAATGTTTTTAAGTCATTTATTACAACTATTTGGATTTGAATTGCCAACTGTGTGAACATGTCGATGTCTGTTTTTGGTGCAGCATATTTCCACAGCATATAAATGCACCGAAACGAATGAAGAACCACAGTTTCACACACGTTTCATACACAATCCTCACTTATACTCTGAATTTTATGTAATGGCATATTTTTTGCACATATCCATTATCATTTTAATTTTCTTTTTGTGCTGCTCGCATAATTTTTTGTTTCTTCCAAATGTTTTTCCTCTTCAAAAACCGAAACGAAACAAACAAAAAAAAACAACATACACAAAATTCAGCCAAATTAAAAGTATATATAGTTGTTTTGTTCTCTGTTTGTTTGCATATTTCCATACATTCTGAATTCACTCATGCAGTTAACTGGCGGGTCTTTTGTTGAAGGAAGCAGTTAAAATGCATTTGCCGAGTGATCATCGAATGCAAATAAGATTGTGAAGCAATAACAAGCAAAATGTATACTAGTATAGTGGAAGAGTCGAGTGCAAAATTTTCATGCCAAAATGATGAAATTCTTCATTTTGTTCAATGCTCTTTGTCGACGAATCATTCGTTCTGTACAATTTTTGTTATATATGAGAAAAAATCAATGAATCTCATTGTCAAATGCGACAATGACAACGATGCTCGATTTTCGACACGGAGTTTTTCCTTTGAATTAAATTGCCAAGTTTTGCAAGATAATAGCTAAGTTATGTGTTTGTTATAATGCCAATATAATGTTTATACGTGCACATACAAACATTTTAAAAAGTTTTGTGTGTCTTGTTTACATGAACTTATGTGAGTTGAGTTATACGGTTTCTAGCTATGTCAAATCGACTTCTCTGATCAAACAAAATACAATGAAACAATGTTAAACGGTCAATTGATTCGGGTAGCAACATAATCGACATTGACATTGATAGCAACAACAAAAAGTAACACCGTCATATAAAGGCAATTTTTGATTTTTCACGATTTACTTTTTCTTATTATAACTGTGCCTAATTTTATTGCCTATAAGCATTTTTGTGCTCATCGAGTCTGGTAACTAGATGGAAACAAATTGGTTATGTTGTTTTTCTAGTCAACGTTTTTAGTAAAACTTTTTACTATCTTTTTTTTTGTTACAATTTTTGAAAGGTATTTTTTAATGTTTGCCGTTACCTTCAGCTAGATCCAAAAAAAGCTGTGTCATTGTTGAAAAAAAGCATACTAAAAATTTGATTTGTAAAATTATTTAACGAGCTCCATTTTTTCTTCAGCTAAATAAACAAAAAAAAAAACAATTCTTTTCATTGCAGTACATGCTGAACCACATCATTACGCAGCACCAGCATACAGTCATTATGATTACGACTCATATGACAGCCACTACGCCTATGAACCACACCAATACCCTCATTATTAGATGGAGAATCGAGAAGAGCTGAAAATTTACGCTATATTGAGTACATGTTGATATCAAAATCATCCAGTTTGAAATTATATCACGGTTCAGAAACGAAGCAATAAAAGACAATAACTTAAATTAGATAACCTGAGTATCGCAACATGGACACTGAACGACTATAAATAAAACCACAATTGTTTATATTAAAACATCCAAAAGTATTACCATACGATTACGGTCGAATAGGATATGTGCCTGCTGATTGTAATCACAAACCATTATACTTCAAATTAAACAAAAAAAAATAAATTAAATTAAATTTGCCAACCAATTTGGCAAATGACAAAAAAATCAAAACCTAATTCTTGCACAAATGTTATAACAACTATTACTGCTATTATCTAATTTAAATTCAAAAAATTACATTTTTTATACTTTTACAATCAAAAATTTTTTAAGATAAATTGTAAACGATTTTTTACATAATAAAACAAATTTTACAAATAAAAATCTTCGTTGATTTTTTTTTATTTTAATTGATTATAATTCTGATTTTCAGTTGCTGATCTTCTGACTTTAGACTCTTGAATTATTAAATTTGGTATAATTTTAAAATTTGCACACGGTCCTAAAAATGCTACTAGGGTAATTGCGTGAAAAAAAGTAGGAAGTCTTCTTTTCCACTTTTTTTGTTAAAAACGTTATGGCATCAAACTTTCTGATATCAACTTGGAGAGACTCCACATTTAGCCTAACCCTCCTGGAGACAATATGACTCAGAAAAACATATGAATAAAAATCGAAACTACTTCATTGATTTCGTTAGGTTAATCGATTTGGTCTTTGGAACTCAAATGAAAACAAATACAACCTATTCAAGTTATTATATCAATTACCGTTATTCAAAAATGAGTGAAAATCTCACGTTGATGAGACAATATGAGTTCAGGATTTCGTAATCGATCAGACCAACGCGGCATATATTGTCTTAATTTGTTTTGTCATGAGTATTACTGTCTGCAACAGACTTAAAAGTTTTAATAAATAAATAATGAAAATATTTACGCTTTTTTTCGATGTTCATTTTCAAAAGGCATTCAATTAGCTTAAGTAAAGCTTAAATTCGATTTTGTGTTTAGTTCAAACATTAGCTCACAGATGGATTTTGAAACAAGTTTTACTTAGTAAATTTTGGAGAATATGAGCTTTGACATTCGCAAGGCTTTTTTGATTTAAGCTTTATATTAAGTTGAAATATGTACTTTATCAGATTTTAAATTGGTTGAAGCTTCATTAAAGCTTTACAAGCATAATCTTAACATAATTAAATTTGAGTAAATTTTTTGCAATACATTACCTTCATAGATGATAACGGATTTTTTTTAGAGGGGGTGATGCCAAAATTCCGTAGAGAGTCCCTGGAAAAATCCATGGGGACGATGTCAACAATTTGTAGGAAATGAGGATAAATCGTTTTTTTTTGCTCTTCACTTTTTTGGCGAAAATCCCTAGCAAATCGAAATCGAAAGAAGTGAAAAGCAAAAAGAAAGAAGTGAAAGGTTCTCATTTCCAAAATTGTTGAGGGTTCCTAAAATTTTTTTAGAGAGGGGGTAATCCGAACCTCAGGAACCCTCGTCATCACCTTGACATTAGATTTAATTCGGTTGGGAATTCATCTTGAATAAGAGCAACAACAAGAGAATCACTACAAATTAAAAACATTCAAAGTGAAAAAATGTTTAATTTCAATCATAAAACAGCGCACATAACTAAAATAAATAAAAATGTGTCGATTCAAAAGTATTTTTTTTATTCATTTTCCTTTTGAAGCCTTCTTTCTTCCGATAACAATTACATTAATTATCTTATCACATAATGCAATTGTTCGATTTATATACATAAAATCTGTTGATTTTCATGACATACATACAAATATAATTTGTTTGTTTTCGTTCCTAAGGCCAATTCGAGTATGAAAAATAATCGATCCGTTGACACCGGAAAAAACGTTTACTTGAAACGCAAAAATAAAAAAAAGAATATATACCAATCTACTGGTAACCTCAATAGTATAATATGTATGTTTTATTGGTTGTGACTTCCTCTCTCTATCATTGAGATATGTGTTAGTTACATTTTGGGATGGATCCATGATGTGTGATTGTCCGTTTTATAATTGATAAAAGATTCTAATGACGAAAGTTTGACTGTGTCCATTTTCAAATGATTGCCATTTGTTTATTGGGAAGGAACTCGCGCAAAATAAAACTGTAAGTTGAAATAAGAAGAAAAAGAACAAAATGAGAATTCGAGAGTGAAAGAGTGATGAACTTGCAATTTAAAATTAAAAACAAATTGATACCAGAGACAATTCGATATTCCTTTAAATTTTTTAAAAATGTTATTATACGTAAGTATGCTGTTGGGACTCCCTACATGGGTACGAGTTTTTCTTGAAAAAAATGGTTAACACCAAAAAGTGTATCGATTCGAAGTGTTGGCCCATTTTCTATTTTTATTCTATTTATTATTACTTATCGATTCAAATGCGTGAATAGACTTTGTATTAAATCAGTATGTGTGAGGGCAATAAAAATGCGCAAAATATAATTTCTGATTATTTTCTGGTGTTACAGCTGTAGAAAAATGATCAAATCGCATACACAAGCAAAGAAAATAATAAATTAAAAGCATCGTGTTGAAAGTGCAGAAAAGAAAACGAAATAGATAAAAATAGCACATACAAAGCTACAACTACATTGGATGTGATATTGGAGAACAACAATCAAATCAAAGTGCAAATCGTGACTTAGCATTTGATTGAATTCGAAAATTATGTTCAACGTGTGTGCGCTCACTTTGTGCAAATTACATACCGAAATTGCAAGTTGAATTGAAACAGGAAAAAATGTTTTCATCGTGTTAACAAATCGTATCATACATCTTTCACGAATCTTACAAATGAATCGAAATAAATAATAACAAAAAATGTATATAAAAGGCAACTAGTACACAGAGAGAAAAACATTTATCATTGCATTTTTTAAGAAATATCAAAACACAACCGCGATTAGGATTTTCATACTCATTTTTTTTTCTTTATTAAACGTCAACACTCAATAAAAGATCCTTCTATACATGCGCGTAGCATAAATATCGTCCATTGCAAATGGCAACATGCAAGAAAAAATATCAGTCTATGTATTTCGGATGGATATCCATCCGAGATATTTTAGAATATCTGGATATTCAACGCAACTGCACAGCTTTGTGTAATGAAGATAGAACATACACAACACACCCGAAACATCATTCCCTTTCTTTATATGAAATACATGATTCACCGGCACTTCTACGGTGACTATTTGTCAAAAATGAGGAAAACTAAACTTGACATGATTTCTTTACTTGGTTTCCAAACCACTGAGATCAGTTTACTTTTGATTCTTGTTCCCCATTTATCATAAATGTGATAAGGTATGGCAATTCGAACAAAATTTATATGATATCGAACTGATGGGAATTAATCAAATAGATGAGAACAAATGATGGTTAAAAAACTTGCTACGTGATTTTTTTTCTTCATGCTTGTACAAAAGTCATTTTAAAAACTCACCACATAATATGGAAGACCATGGTATTTATCTTTAAAAGCAATTATACTATATTTATCTGCTTTGTTATAGTAATTTTTGCTGAATATGTCGTTTAAATACTTGTCCTGGTAGTATTGCTGTTTGGCCAGCGATGTTTTATAGAATTTTGGCGGGACATCCACAAAGAATCCTCTTGCATTGTTTTCTTTTACATTCTTGATTTCGTTATATTTCTCGTTATCATTAAAAATGTTATTCGATTCTATATCATTATTGTTGTAGCGTGGTCGTGATGGAGGTGGTGGCACATATCTAAAAATTGAACAGAGACTTGATTATGGAAATTGATTTGTTTTCGCAATTGGATATTTCCATCAGCGGATATTTATCCAGCAAAATCACACGTCTGTTTTAAGCAAACCAAACTTTGAAAATAATCCAATTGGACCAACCATGAATAACCTTAAAAACATTATTGTGTCACCTGTATGGATCTGGATTTGGAATGTCATTGGACTGATCTTCCCAAACCGGCGCTGGTTCACGGAATGGTGGTTGAGGTGGTGGTGGGAGTGTTGTGGTCGGTGGTCGAATTGGGCCGGTATTCGTATTGAAATCTACTCGAATCGGAATCGCCGTTGAAACTAACATTGACATCACAACTAATATAGCCCACATCATCTATAATTTATATGGAAAAGAAAAATTAATCAATTGAGAGGGAAACTTTTTAATTTTGAACCCGTAAATTTGCAAATATACGTTAATAAAATGATATTGAAACTGATTTGCTCTAAGCCAACACTTATTATGAGGCGAAACCGTAACGCACAGCAAAAACCGAATGATGTACACGGTCGTCACCATAACAGTGCGCGCGGAAATCAAACAACAAACCAGTCTCACAAATTCTATCGCAAAACTATTTTACATGAAATTGATTATTTTTTTGCGCGTGTGTGTGTGTCAATATGTAAGTCTTTAAGTTTGGTCGTCATTTTTTATTTATTTATTAATAGCTCAATTGGATATTGCTATGACATGATCACGCGCATAAGAAATTGTATTCAATCGTTTACTGTAATTATAAGACAAGGAACAGTGATTTTTCATATTTGAATGAAACTTGAATTCATAGGCGATTTCTTTCACATTGTTGCGCTCACTCTAAGGGAAAAACGTAGCTGACGACGTCGACACGGTCAAAGAATCAAATGCTGAAAATTTACGACAATTACGATATAGTTTTTTACGTTACGCGATCTGAAGGTTGTTTTTAATTTTGTTTGCAAAAGAAGAAGAGAGAATAAAAAAAAATTGACGACACAGACAATCGTTGACGATTGGGTGCGCGCACACAAAAAGCTTTATTTTCAAAATTATGCACACATTTAGTAGAAGCTATACCTATTCAAATGTGTTCAGAATTTTAGAATTGTGTACCTCTCTCTCTCTCTCTGTGTGTGTGTGTGTTTGTAAATAAAAACAAAAACAAATACTTCAACTCTTCTTACTACTTATTAAATGGCGGATGAATGAATACGATTACCATTCACAATTTCAACATATTAGATACACTATTGAATTCGATAAGCATGAAATTCATTGTAAGTAAATGTTGTTAGACATCTCAAAGTGCTATATCAATGATCAATATCAAGACATCTTAATCGAAAAATTATCTGGCAGCTTACGTTGTTTTGTTCAAATTCTGACCATTGTTTCTTTCACTTTTTTAAAATTTATTTGCCAAAAGCAAGAGATGAGCAAGATGATTATTATATTGTGGTCGGTGTAAAAATTGAAACAAAATGAAAAGATAGCTCCACAAAAGGCAGACAATTCAATGTACAAAATGAAGTTGAATCTCGTGCCCACCCGAGAAATTCACTTTGACTCAAAATCAATTGGAAAGATACTGATAAATTTCTTCAAAATCCAAAATATCACATTTCAATAGAGGCAAGTTCGCCTTAAACTACTGATCGATTTGTTTGGTGGTAGTTGAACTTATTGGCTCAAATGCATATCATCTAAGATTAACTTATAGTTTATGTAGTCGTTTGTGTTTATACAAACAATACTATGAAGTGAAGTGTTACTCGTTATTATTTATTATTCGGCAGATAGTGTGCTGTCTGTTTCTTGTCTTTTTATTTGGTACCATAATAAGGTTATTGCGAATCGAAAGACATGATGGGCCAATTTACAAGTCTTATTCATAAATAAGCCCCTTGGAAAAAATGATCAAATTTGTTCGTCTCTTGGGCATTGTTTTGTCGGATTGTCTAGCAAAGATCAATGAAACATAAAATCTTTAATTAGATAAGCATTGTTAGATGCACAGTATGCGATCTTTGTTTTGTTTCTTTTATATCTTCTTCCCTTTCTTTCGTAATTCGGCTTGTCGATTAAGCGCCACATCATAGTCGTCGCTACAAGGGGAATGTACTACTATATCTTAACTCATATAATACAATATGGTTAAAGAATGTCGATGGTGATCACACAAAACGAATTTATCTAGAGAAACAACCAGTGGTGTTCAGCTACATTGAGTATCCAATGAATGCACCCATAAAACACTGTCTTAAAAAGATGCTTTTAGATCACAAAAAGATGCTTAGAAAAGCGATCATTTACTCGGAATTTGAGATCGTTCGCATACTCAAAATGTCTTGAAACATTATTGAAATAATAAGAAAAAAATACGTAACAAAATCTCATACATATTCGACGAACAAACTGAAATGCAGGTATAATTGCAGAACACGTAGACAAACTAGTGTTGCTGCGAATACCGATCATATTGAAATTGAATCATTGCCATATTGAGAGTTGCATCTCTAGATAATAATGATGACAAACAGTTTCAGTTTTTCTCACTGCTCACCAATATAAAATATACTTATTAGAGTGGTTCGATTTTTTTTTCGAAAATCAAAAATCATCCAAGCAAGGCCATAGAAACACAACTATAACAACAGATTTTAAAAAAGTACTTCGAAAATTCACAAAAAATTGCCTTCTTTTAGCACAAAAAAACCGAATCTGATTTTTGTTTTGCCATACAAATTGTTCTCGATACACTTTTCATACAAAAATCAGCAGAAATTTGCACAATAAATAATATTCTTAACGATTGGAGAAATTTCTTCAATCTTGGTGAGATTGTATATTGTGGTTTTCGCGGTGACTAAGTTTCAGCAAACATACATTTATTGCATTTTGATCGAATCGAAATTGATTGAATTTCTTCCGAAAATGTTGTAGTAATTTAATCACCGTAAAAATTTGAGAATCTATTTTTCTTCAGCAAGCTTAAAAATGTTATACAATTTTTGATTTTCAAAAAAAAAATATCAAAATCGACCTACTCTAATTCGTATAAAGATATTTTTTCTGATTGTCTGTTGCAAAAGTTTCAATTACCAGCTATTAAAGCTACTTATAATATATATGATTTTTATATAAATTAGGTGTATTAATTCATTACTGCAGCAGTTATGATAGCGATGGTGGTGGTCGCTTATGTTATGGCGTTGCATCGAACTTAATCAATTTGATTGAACTGCTTTTGTCAAATACAACAATGCATGGTCCCATTTATTATTATTGTTGCATGTTTAAATAATAAAAAAAAATGTGTACGAATATAGACTTACCCTTGAAGATGACGTATAATACATAGCTGGTTTCATACGCGTTTAACTGCCTTTCCTTCCACAAAACGTCGCATTTAATACAATGACAGACAATGAAGAGAAGAGAAAAAAAAACGAATAAAATTCCTATGAATACATGTACATATTATATTCAAAATATATGTATATGTTGCTATGGAGTGAAGCTTAAGCTTAAGCAAATATAGATGTCTTGAACGCTGTTTGCAATTGTTGCGTTTCATTCAGCAAATTTAACGTGAAGTTTTTCTTTTTATACCTCTAACATGCTTCTCTGACAGTGTTATTTTTTAGTCGGCTTTGCATTTTATTTATTTATTTGAATTTTTAAGTCTACTTATAAAGCCGCCTTGACTTTCTTGAACTGAGAATTTTTGCCGGAGAGGTTCGAAGAGAGATAGCATTGATAAAAGAACTTATGATGGAATGGTGCCTGTGGAACTTTAGTCTTTTCAGTCTTTGGCCACTTTAGACCAAATTTTGAAACACCCTCTATATTCTGCATAAATTTTATTTTGCATATTGTTTTCCAATGTGTTGTTCATATCGAAGTGAGGACCGTAATTTTCTTGCACATTTATAAATGCACGTTTGTTTTAATTTGTTGTGTGTTACCATTCTCTATGCCTTCATGTATAGACTCTTCAAATTACATTACACATTGTAGCACACGAATTTGATATGCTGTTCACACTTTACAATGGGAATCCATGAAAACTACAAAACAACTACTCGCCCAAAATCTCGATCCTGTGTTGAAACATATGTTTTGCGTAAGAAAAAAGTGCAATAAAAGAATAACAACAAGGGATATGTCGTAAATAATAAGCAATAGAGTATGTGTAACAATCTAACGCTTGATATTATATTGTACGTCGTTCGGTCCATTCCGAAACTGGTTTAAAACACTTCACTTATTTGAAATATTAAGCCCAAGCATTTTAGTTATTTATAAAAGATAGACCAGAAATTAAAAATTAATTGAAATATACACTCAAAGATTCTCCCTAAAGAGCACTGCTTGTTCATTTGTTTGAAGTAATTGTATATAACTGATGTCGTTTATTGACTCTTAGTTGACGCACTGCTGCCTCTGTCAGTTGTCGAGTGAACTATTACAACATGTATGATGCTGAGGTTCGCTTCATTCGATCAAGATAACCATCAAGTGGCTACTTGAAGCTGTCAAAACAACGCATGAATACCACTTAGAAAATATAGCATAAAGTACTTTGCTTTTACAATTTACTTACTATATTACGCGTGGATTTTACTTGTCCACACCACAAAATTGGAACAGAGCAAAAATATGAGCACATCGATGTGATATTTGGCAACTATCATAAAGATTTCAATGACATGGTATATTATCATTATCGGCACCATCATTTAGATTCAAGATGGTAACTTTGAGCTATGGTGAAATTCCTCAAATCTTTTTCATTCATTGCACTCACTTGAAACTGCAAACACATATCGAAAATTTAAGCAAACAAGTTGATCTAAATCGAAAGCAGACTATTATACTGTCGCGCATGCAGACTTAAAAAGAAACCTGATCAATGGTCTTAATGAATTTGTGACATTTTCAATGTGCCATAATCACTTTTTAAATGCGTTTTATTCATTTTTTTTCACATTTGAATGAACGAAATAGAAGAAAAAAGAAAAGCTATGCACGAACACCGATATGCATATTTAATTGAAGTTGATCAACATATGTGATTAGTTTAGATTACGAAATGAGCTAATTTTGTTGTTGATATAATTCCATATAGGTAATTGATATGTTGTGATTTTTTTTAAATCTATGAACGCACTAAATCTCACAGCCTATCAGAGACGCTATCTGAAAGTAGCAGATATTTTCAAATGCTAAGTTCGTTCACTGTGTCGCGACTCTCAAAATTTAATTTCGAACAAAATATTGGGAATATAGAACTATAGACGACTGTTATATAAATAATATTTGCCGAAGATTGATGTAGAATAATAGACTTATTTGTTTTGAGCCTTTCACTCTGATACAAAATCAGTGGCTACATGAGTGAATGCATGAAATTTGCAGCTGAAAATTTCTGCTATTTTCATATGGCGTGATGAAAACAGCCACTGATATGACTTGGTTAGAATGAAAACCCGACTCAAAATAAAAATATATAAAAATGGAACACAAATCTTTATTTCAAATCGTGTTTTTATTCAATCTCATTCATTTGGTCATGCATACTCTCGAAATTTATGCGAATTCAATTGACGAGCAATCAACATATACCCTATAGATGTCTGTAGATTCAAGTCTGGCATGCATTTTTACTTTGTATGGATCATTCAGGTAGGTCGTCTACTACGCAATAATTCAATATAAGACACTGATGGCGCAAGTTATGATAGCGAACATATTTTTTTATTCAAAAGTAGTAAAAATGTTAAATTTCCACATTTTGAACAAGAAAAAATGGAACGAACTACCAGTTTGCATTTCGTTCAATCATTTGCATTTATGAATGCATCACGAATGTTAGCCGCGTAACAAGGTTGTATTTTACATTTTGGGGACATACACTAAGATATTTACACTTTATGATACGAAACGAATTGCATTGAGTAACGAAATGATCAGTGACGGTCACCGATAAACATAACACAATATCGTATAATCGTCGTATATGAATTTTATCACTTTTTAACGTTAATACTCAAACCGACTAACTCACCAGGCATATTTATCAATGAAACACGCTTTTCGAATTTTGATGCAAAAACAAAAAATTCTGACACTACATTAATATCGCTTGGATTTATTTTTCAAGTGATTGCATTTTTTGTGGAAATTGATGTGATTCGATTTGAATTGATTCGTTTGAATTCATTTGCTATGCAATTATGAGTTATTAAAAGAGTTTTTAATCAAATAAATTAATCATTTTAAGCAAAAAAAAATGAACACAAATTATTTATAAATAACAATGGAAGCCTTGAAAAGGCTGTGATTTTTTGTGATTTTTTTTCATTCAATTTTCTTCCACTGAAACTGCTATTTGTGTAGAGGTATTTCTGTTTAGCATTCAATCAATTGTATCGTCAATGCACTTTTGAATCACATTGCATTGAAATTATCTCAAAATTATCACGCGAGCTTTGAAAGCTTTAACGATGTCGCAATTAATTGTGATTTAATGTACCTCATTATATGTATACTTTTCAAAAAAATTAACCTTTGTCCAATTTGAGAAATGCTTTTTATAAATTAATAACATTGTATGCTCCATTAACATTAATTAAAGGTGCTCCATCCTAACGTAAAGCATACTGCTATAGTCTTGTGTCTCAATATCTCAATAGAAAGTGAAAAAATACGTAAAATGAAAAGAAAAGGGAAGAAGAAGAAGAAGAAGAAGAAGAAGAAGAAGGAGAAGATGTAAATGAATGTTATTGACTATATGCGATTTACACTAAATATAGTAGCGTATTAAGAACAAAAAATGACAAGCATAAGTGTTATAAGTATTATTACATTTATCGCGAAAAGATTGCAAAGCATTTTGTATTAATCAAAAGCCTATCAAATTTTAAATATATTTGTCCATTTTCGTTTATTCTGACAGACTTTTTTTTGCCTTGTTGTTTCCATTTTACGGTTTTAATTTCTTCTTCCATTAATCATTTCAAGTTACACAATACATTTAAGTGCACGCGCGTTTGGTCTTATTATTATTACTATTATTCTTACGAATTAAAATTTTGAGTTATTTTACAAGGTCCAGTCGAAAAAAGCTGGCTGACCAGCATTAAAATGTGTGTATGCGATGCTTATTTTTCTTCTTCTCTTCATACAACTTCTCCAATGTACATGGTACATACTACTCATAAATATAGTATGTATTGTAATGGTATTTTTTTCTCGCCTTTTTGGCATTTTTTCTACTTGTTTTTTATTTTTGTTGAGTTTCATTGGGTTCTTCGTAGTTTAGCACAAATCGAATGCCACAATTTTATTGTGCAAGGCAGCGAATTGATTATGCCGAGAATGGTCTATACAATGAGACTGGACTCGAATTAAATAACAAATTTAACCTTTTACTATAACTAAAAGCGAGTCGTTGTCGTCGGCTTTCATTACACTATAAGTGAGACTCACGGTGAGTGAATGGAAGAGTGAGAATAAATTGTTGAACACACAATGTATGAATAAAATCATTTAAAATGAAGCATTCCTCTGTTGTTTTTGGACCGAAACCACAACTCATAAAAAAAAATGAAAACAAAAATAAACAGCTGCATTTAAATTTAAATTTTTCGCATAAAAACGAAAACAAAAAATAAGTATTTCAAAATTTGTCTATGTCCATTGTTTTGATCTCGTACATATCGTTCCGTTGGATCGATGATTATTTTCACGTAATATCCGACTGTATTATATGGATTTTGATAGTAATGTTTTTTTTCTCTCGTTTGGAACAATATACAAATTCGCACAAATCGAATACACTTTTTCCGATACCTTTTGAGGATGAAAATGATGCACGCGCGTAATTTAACCGACAACTATGAAATTATTTAGATTATGTGTGAACTTACTTATAATCTCACCAAACGCGATGACATCAAAAGGCAGACTAAACCTAAGCTGGAATCATATTTTTTTTCATTCGTGATCACACGTTGAAATTTTTTGTTGCTGCTTCTTCGTTGTTATTGGCGATGCCGACGACGATGACGTCGGTGCCACCGCCGCCAACAATAACAATATATGCCGCGTATATATACATATTATGCTATGTTATTCAACTTCAATGCAAGACGTTGCGGTCACACAAAAGCAGACGAGCTACAAATGAGAGACTATAGGCGACTATAGGCGCGCCGTATACATAGAAAGAGCAGCATATTTTTACGCCATATCTTGAACGCACACTCAAACGAATATAATCATGAAGCATATAATACACACAATAGATTAGTTGGATCTTCAGCAAAAGCAGAGAGTCAACGCAAAATGAATGCGGCAAGAAAAACTCATACCTAAATGCGCCACACAAATACAAATGTATATAGAAAAACGATGAGTAGGAGACCAAAATATAGAGTCTGTACGGATTCAATTGTACTCTATGCAGAAAATTGTGATGTTTTTAGTTTGTTTAGATTGTATTGCGTGACGTTGTCGATTCACTGTGTAAGCAACAGACACTTTATTGTTTGTGTGTATAAATTACCCAAAGTGATGCTTGATCTGATTCATGATATTTGCATCGATTTCCGATACGTTTTGATTTTTCTCTATCTTTATGTATATTTGCTATTATTATTTTTTGTTCATCCATTGAAGGGAATGGCTGTTTATATCATTTTTTTCCATTAGCTGAATAAAAAAATCCAAAAGGATTAACTTCTTATCCAGACTATATGGAAAAAAATCCACAGTTAGAATATTAAAACGCAGTTTGAATTCATTTTGTTATTTGTCATTTCACGATTTCACGGAGCAAAATATAGAAAACAAAAAAGAATTGTCAGAGCGAAGTAACGCATGTATTGGAGCATCGTATTTTACTCTATTGTTATGAGTTCACATATGAGTTGCTTGTGAATATGTATTGCTACAACTGACAATTCTCTTTTGCACTGCATGTTTTGCTTCATGAAATCGATATTTCTTATTTAAAAAAATTCAAAATGATTAATTTTTAATCCCATCGGTGAATAGTTTAATCTTACACTATAAGAGTTGGCTTTACGGCTCGTTGTACACTTCCACGACTTTGATGTGACAGTACAGAGTGATGCTGATGCTCTATAATGATTGATTAATTTGTGACCGGTAGAACCATTATGTTATACCAATGTCATCGCATTGTTACCAATTTAAAAGTTAATTTTGTTTCACCACTCTGTAGAAAAACGATGTTATATTCGTCAGCTACCACTACACCATAACTCCATTTTACAGTCACTGCAAAACAGAAAATGAAACAGAAATTAATAAAAAAAAACACATCAGAGCGTGCACCAATACAGCATTACTGCGCTATTAAACATTCAGATTTTTTTTTGCTGCATCGCTATGAATTTCTTACCGTTTCTTTTTCTGAGTCCGATTCGTTGATAGAGCAATAAGATGCCCATAAAAATGGACTCGTTGCCTTGATTGCAAATTGTACTGTTACCAAAGTGCTGCTTGTGACATAAAAAAAACCGACGGGTGCATAAACTGCAGTTTGCAATGTGTTATGATGATATATACCTATCATTGTATGGACACTCGGTCACCATATGTGTGTCGAACCAAATGTATACACTTTTGATTTCACGCATCTCTTCACCTCTCTCCCATCTGACAGACTCTTTATATGAACAAGCAATTGGATTTGGCCATTTTTGTGTTGATTTCAAACGATCGAATCATGATATGCATTCAGAAAACAGCATTCATCGTTGCATATTAATTTGCGTCATTTCACGACTTGTATGTTACAAATTTATCAGTCTCTTTATTTTGATGTACGCTTATGCGCGTACCTACGTTGCTCGTCTATATTCAAATCTTTTGTTTATTGTGTTTGAAACCATGTGTATGTGAAATTGCTAATTTGTACTTCTCATATGCATTGTTTTATTGGTAGGTATGTTGTTGCTGTCTGATGTTCGTGATTTTAAGCAATTATCAAGATAAAATAGACAAAACACACAACATAAAACGACATATTCTCTAGCCTTTACACTTTAAACACCACGTCATTTAGTATTTAATTAAAATAATAAGTGTTTTTATTTCTTATTCCGAGTTTCCGCTGTCTTTAACATTTTGGCTTCCAACAACAATTACCTATCTTATAACTTGACACTTCAACTTTACCAAAAGGGGATACAATTGAAGTCGTTGAAATACACAATTAAAAAGGGTTTGAGAAAAAAAAAAAAAACAAATAAATATTAAAACGTGAAAGAAGCTTGGCATTCCTATGAATTTAAAAAAAACACATTTTTCGTCTAAATCATACACATACCGATGCACAGAAATTGCGTGTAGAAAATTTAAACATAAAACTGATACCAAAATGATTAGAGATAAAAAAACCAGAAGTCAAATAATTATGGCAATGAAATTTACGTTTCATTTTATGACGATTCCATACGACGGCATTGAAATTGTGATTTGAAATGAAAACTGGGCGCAAAGATGCAGTTTGTCAATAAATATAAATGCAATCAGTGGTGTAAAAGTAATGAAGCATATTTATTCACTTTTATACTTCATGAGCTCCATACATACATAATCTAGATCATGCATGATGTCACTTACTACCATTCAACTTACATTCAGATAACGTCTCAAGGCTTTTTTTCGAGTATTTTTTACTGTCACTAGAAGTGCATACATATAAAATCAATTTTTTCAACTTTTACATAAAGTGAACAAGATGCATCGCATAATGTTTTCCGAATACAATTCTCAAGAATTAATTTATTCCCATTAAGAAAAGTGTGCTCAATTTATGTCTCAACACATATCAAAATGTAACATTACTTTCACTTTTTCAAGTACTTTCGCAATAGGACGATGGACGATAGGACGTACGCCGTTTATTTGCACAAAAGAAGAAAATGTTGTTCAAACTAAAACCAATTTTAAACGACCTGATCTGGCCAAACTTGTTACGTTTCCAATAATAATAAGACAATTGTCACAAATTGTTTCGATTAAAGTAGGAAATTGTAAAGTTTTCTTTATTGAAATTCCATGTACATAAAACATTTTAATGAAAGAAAAACCCACTTAAAGAACAAAAACCCCATGAAACATTTCGTCAACGAATTCTTCATTACATTATTTATTTATTTTGTGCTCGCTCCTAAAATACTGTACAGTAAAAAGAGAGCTTAGCTTTTGTTCCAGTCGTTTTTTTTGTCGATCGCACATTATTTTATAATACGGACAGAAAAGTCAAAGCCAAGATAAATCAAAATTCAAACCTCATCTATCATCGCAAATTGTGAGAGCGTGTGAGTGTAAAACGAAAAAAAAATAAAGTTCTTCAGGCTCATGATTTAAACGTTGGAAGTTGATTTACTTTGTTGTTACTGTTTGCATCTGTCTTCTTTCCGTTCCAACCAAAACTCAATGAATATTCTCTCGTGAATAGTTCAGGGTCACATATATTTATTTATTATGTTTCATCGTTCATTCGCAGCATTCTTAGGCCATTGTTCATTGCTCAACTGGTGATGTGCGCGGTAATTTTAATACTTGTTTTTTTGGTGATTGGGCACCACTGTTGGGCTACTGGTTTTATTTGATGTATTTTGGAAGTAATGGACATTTTGCGAGATTGACGGTGTGGCACTTCTTTGGTTAAAATCTCACAAACCGTATAAAAATCTATTTATGAGAATACGCAGTATAGAATTATGGTAATTCACCTTTGTCGATTACAATTACAACAGCGGCGTCGAAAAAAAAAAACAATCAGGCTCACAATATTTTTGTCCACGGTAGAATGCGTTGGATGTGATGCTCGGTGTTGGTGTGCATCCAAACAGCATGTTTAATGATCATGATTGTTAGGAGTGATTATTAAAGTAGACGGACACGTTTTCCAATTATTCAACATCTATCATTCACAAACGTTCCTCACGAACTTATTTTGTTCAATTCAACCTTGAAACTGCACGGGGATAGGAGAGAAATACCATTGTTTTTTTTTCATAGAAAATTTTGAATATTAGCTAGTAGCTACAAATTAGCATAGGATCTAACTAGCGTTTATTCGAATTGGGCTCTGTCCCACAGGCATTCGGTGTTCACAATTGCGTTAAAAAAATGTGTGGTTCGAGTCGGTGAAGCTCGATTTGTTTGAATGTAGCGACATCACAAGACCTTACATTAACAACTACCATTCATAGTCAACAGATACAGTACCAGTAAAACTGGTTAGAACCAATGGTATTCAAAAAAAATCTTGAGATTTTCGGTAAGGCACAGCTCAAACGCATTCAAGCATTCAGTAAAAAGTATCCAATCAAGATGACTTCACCGAAGCGGGAAGTTACTGGGTATTATAAACATCAGCCCCGCTTCAAGATGCTTTTCATGACACAATGTATGAACGTTGCTGACATATTTACCATTCTATTATATTCAAATTGTTTTGTGCAGAATTGTGATGTGTATAGATTATGGCAGAAAAAAAACACCTTATTCGCTAATTCTATGTGCAATATAACCATTTTAAAAATTCTCCCATCGAAGTAAAGTTGGTATTTGTGTTAATTACTTCATCGCTGTCGAATTCTTTTGGACAAATTGCTGAGGAATGGAATTCGACAATAATTGCAAAAAAAATTAAGGTAAATAATAAAGATGCTTCAAATTGAATAACACTTTAAGAATAGAAAGGCAAAGAAGTGATGAAATAATTCATTATCTGAAACAAAAAAGGCAAAAAAAAACTGACAGTACTTAAACAGCTCCACTGAAAGCTAATATCTACTCGAAGCTCTTATATAAAGCTCAGCCGTATGCATAAAAGCCAATTATTATTGCTTATTAAGTTTATTTAGTTCCTTCAAACTCTTGTTTTTTTATTGTCATTAGTTTGCTACTTCGTACGTATTTTTGTATTTCAAACTTTTGTTACAAATTGATTTATAAATAATTATTCTTAAAATTAGTGACACAAGAAATGTTTATCATATTTGTTTGTTGTTATTTTTTTTTTAAATGGATTTTCTCAACAAAAAGAAGCCAAGCTAATTTTCCATCCACACATTTTTGTAAAAACAAAACTAAAAACTAAAACAGATAACAAAAAAATGTTGCTTTTCGAATGCTTAAACTCTGATGTAGTTTTTGTTCGTGTTTGCATAAACTGGGTAGTAGCCAAGATTGGGTGGCAATAGCGTTTTTACCATTCTCGATGAAGCCGTCTGCTGTTCGGAATCGTTTGAATCGTCTGTCGTTGTTGTGGTTGTAATTCGTTTAATGAGTGCCGTAGGTCGAAAATAGCTGCTGTAATCGGCTTTCGATTTCGGTCGAATTCGAATCTGACAATTTTTACTGTTTGATGGACAGTTGGTGTTAATGGATTGTGTTGGATTTTTCACATAAACTGGTTGCAATTTTGAACTACTAACCACCGAGAATTTTTTTACATTTTCATCGATTTTATTATCATTTTTTAATTGACGTCCAAATGGTCGTCGATTGTAATAGCTTGGAAATGCATCGTATTCTAAATCAATGCTGGAACTTGTACCAGGTCGTTTTGGATAATCGTACAAATTATTCCGACCATATTCAGACACAATAAATTCTTCGCCATGGCGGAATTTCGAAAACGGTGACGATGTGTGTTTTATGGTTTCTGGCCTTTGTTGATAACTTGGTTGAAAATCATCATCAAATTCATTGGTACGGAATGGTTCATTACCATGATCGTTGATCTTCCATCCAATGCTAAGGGATGGTCGTGATCCATGACCATAACCAGTATGACTTATGTGTTCGATATTTCCGCCAGTTTCTGTGTGTGAACTCCAACGTGGTCGTTCATGTTTATTCAGATACTTTTCGACGCCTGGTTTTACTTCAAATAGTGATGGTACCTCTTTTTCATCTGTATTCAAATCGATGATTGGTTTTTTATGTGGATTTAAATCCGAACTCAATACAATATGCTCTTGATTTTCACTATAATGGTTGATTTTTGATTGTGATGATGTATCATCCGGTGAAACGCCATGACCACCCACTGGATGTTGGTTTGCGCCATGCGTCTTAACAACCGCATTAAATCCATTTTTACCATCTGCCGTATAGTGAACACTACGAATGGATCCGTCTGGTTCCAGAACGCTATAATGCCCTTTCACGATGCCTTCATCTCTTGACTCCCACTGACTTTTCACATCACCGGTATGCAAATCCTTTACACCATAACTGAATGCATAGCCGGGATGAGCCTTTATTGCCACCATAATGAGAAACAATTTGATGTAATTTGGAATTCAATTATTTCGCATGCGTAATATACAATAATGACAACCTACCCATTCTGGTGCATACGATAAGATGCTCTTTTCATCAACCTCTTGTTTATCTTCTGCTTGTGGCACCAATGATATTACACCAGTTAGCAAATTGGCTAGAATTACAGTTAAATATGCCTGTGGCAAAAAAAAATCAAAACAAAAATGAAAAATGTAGTTATAATGTAGATTCAAATTAAGGAAATAGTTTTCGTCAATTAATTTTATAGGTTTGATTACAAGGGTTTCAGCCAATCCAATTTTTTTCTTGTTACAAAATAACATAAACGTGCTCATAAAAAAACATTGATTGATTGGCATGCAACATTGGTTATTAAACTTTGCTTGATTTCGTTATGAACGGAAGATTGATTTCTGGCCACTAAAGCACCAAGCGACTTATCGGCTACCAAACATGAATCAAATTAATTGCGATAATTTTCGTCTTGGCGCTTTAACAATTCCAGAAATGTAAATCGGTTCTCACACCATCTCAAAAGAGCGAGCGCACTCTGCGTGAGTTACGATTTGATGATGTGATATTAAGAAATGTGCATCAAATCAGTTAGATATGTATACAATATCAATGACATTATTTTACATTAAATTTGCCATTCAAAATGCGCACAAAAGCATGACTGTGATGTTGTCATCAGAGAATATACATCGTGTTGGATACAACATATATTGGCATTTGCACATAGCCCATAGTCTATTGGGTGGTATATACAAAGAAAATCAGATTGTTTGTAAATTATTTGAAACTTTCTCATTTATTGAATCGATAATTTAAAATATAATATAATTTCTTGTTGCAGCAAAGCCAATATCGGTAAAACTGTGCAAAAACACGCTTTGCAAGCCAGTATACTGGATTCAAGAGTTTGAAAGACGGAGAGCGAGAGAGATGAGAGAGAGAGAGCGACTAGGAAAGCGACCAAGAGACGGTCAGATGTGAAAGTGGATTCTTGTCTTTTAATCGTCAATTCTATGGTATAACACATTTCTTTGATAAAAATGCAACCAAACCAAATCTTTAAATACTGCGTACCATACACTTCAATTTATTTCTTGTAGCTATTATATTTCATTTCACAAACAAGTTATGCATGTGAATAAAAACAACAACAACAACATACAGTAAAATAAATTGCAGCGGTATCTCCGCTGTTTGGTAACGATAATTTGATGTTGAAGAGTTTTGTGAAAAACAGCGACACATACATGGGACAGAAAGAAAGAGTGATAAACCAATGAATTGAAGGTCGATCAACCGACAAAGAATAGGTTATTTGACGTGCTTCTCTTGCAATACTTTGCCGAACATACGGTTGGAATTTTGTCATTTATGTGTGAACAAAAACTTTGCTTGCTGTTCACTTTTTTTTTTGTATATCTTTAACATCATTTCCAACTCTTTATTGAATTAAATAACATAATGTGAAAAAAATTATACAGTGCAATGAGATAATTTTGGAATAAAAATTTATGTCTCACGTCTCGATCGATGTTGATTTCAGTTTTAAACAGAGAACACAAGTAATTTTTTGACTCAACATATACAATTTGATCGTCCTTTCTGGAAAAAAAATTATTGAACAAAATCAATTACGATCATATTGCGATTAAAACGTAAGTATTGGAAGAGGAAAAAAGTACATCGTCCCTCCTTTAAGAGCTGTTTAATCTTTGGCCATATAATTTGTGGTTTATCGAAACACGCTTTCTGCTTCTAGGAAAGCTGTTAGCCCGACAGCCATTTTGATGGCTTTTCAGAACATATTGAAAAAAATGGTCAATGTTTCTAGGAAATATGCATAATAGCAACAAAAAAACAGGCGGTCACCACCATATCTAACACACCATCGTCTTGGATACAAATCTAATTATATACATGATCAATCCGTAATATTGAGAGAAAAAAATGACAACGCTATAACATGTGTACCATATATAATGTAAGCATTACGCTCTGAATAAAGGAGATGAAAAAATATAATGTATACTATACATATACTACACAAAGCTGTGCAGCTAAAACACATTTTAGCAATCTCTATAATACTTTAAGTATGCAAGAGACATTTTTTTTGTTGTTGCTGAATTTTTGCTTTCAATATTTTAAGAAAATATGTACAGAAGAAAAACGATAATGATTAATATACGTGCAAAAATACTTAATTATAATTTATTGTACGAAAAATTAGTAATAATTGTTTTCAATAAATTAAACAATTAACAAGTTAAAGCGTGTATATTATTCCGCTATGGGCTAAATTGATTTGTCGTTTTTTTTTTTATTGCCTATTTTTTTAAATATATATAAAAATATATTTCCCTTCTATTACTCTACCATCGAAATAATTTAATACTATGATTGGAACCTTTCTTCTTATTTGCTGCACTTGATTTTCTTGATTTCTTGAAAAATTCAATAGTGATAAATCATACGGGTCGTGCGTCAAAAATGTTTCACATTGCCTTGGGTTTGGAAAACCTAACGCATTGTGATTTTTTACGCCGGAATAAATTTATCTAGATCATATTGGTCTTTATATAGATTTTAAGACATCAAGTCTTGACGAGTGGATTGCAAGACCGTTCTGCCGTTGTTAAAACACTAACCATAGCTTTTTACTCAAGAAGAATATTCTTGTCTTGAATGATCTGTAAAAAAGCGATACAATTTTTTTCTGTGACAAGTGCTCTCTTTTTTATTTAATGGCGCCAGTATATAAAAGATGAAAAGTCTTTTGAGCAAAAGTATTTTGACATCAGTTAAAAAAAATAAAATGATAATTCTAACAAACATTTTCAGCTATATAAAGTATTTATTTTAGGAAGAGAAAGTGAAAAGTGCACACAAGCAGGTGGGTACAATTTTTTTTTTTGAGGGAGTAAGATTAAGAAAAAAGTTTCTAAAAAATTCTTATGCAAACCTTCAAAATCATATTGGATAATATTTTTTTATTCACAGTGAAATGATTGCGTATATACTTTCTTATTATGATTCTTTATTAATTCCAAATAATTCAATCACAAATCATTAATAATTTCGACGAAATTTGCCGAAGTAATTTTATACAAAAAAAAAAAATTCTTTCCAAAATGTTGTATTCTAACCGTTCGATCATTCGAGTCCTTCTTTTAAAATCGCTTTGACGAGACGCAATACATTCAATTATTCAAATATCTACAAAAATTATCACAATTTTGGATTATTCACAATTTTTTTTTTCGAAATTTTCTATTAAATTTAATTAAATCGATAGCAAATGACACCAGCAAAAAACACCAAACAATAAGAAATACTTGAAAGCCGATTGAAAGTGCGGATTGTTGGCGCGTTAACCACTGGAATTAAACTCAGGTTCAAGAGCGTTGAATTTCTTCTATTTATAGGCAATTGTTCCACCATTTCTTAAAGTAACAGTGTGTGAGATTGAAATTGTTTATTTTGTTTGATGCCACTTCTCTGTTGTTGCCGTTGATTGTTGTCGTGCGTCACTCTTCGAAAATATTAAGCTACTATATGAGCTTGCTTTATCTATTCACTACTTCTGCAAATTGGCATATCGATCACACGAAAAAAAAAACACTGCAATGAAAAAAGAAAGTGAAACAGACGAAACTAATAGTCAAATGCATACAGACATATTCACATACACATATATCGTGCACTTGGCATTGCATTGTCCATGCATCGTGTGAGCTTTCCATCTCTGTTACGCTACTGTTGCTATTTTAAATGACTTGATCGTCGTTTATGATCGCCACATCAAATGTGCTAATCTATAAAGCAATGCTTTCTCTCTTTCTGGGTTTGCACTTTTTGGCATTTAAATCGTTCGATTTTTTAAAATTACATTTCATTATCGTATAGATTCAAAATCGCTTTATCGCTTACAACCGCTTATCGTTTAAAAGAAAAATTGGACACATTTCTATCAAATATCTCTAAATATACATTGAACACACATACCTGAAATGTGAGTGAATTTCATGTAATATGATGGAGAAAAAAATGTGAAATGTCAAGAAGTAACAACACAGAGATAGATTAGAGCACGAACAAGATGCTACAAGATCATATAGGATGCAGTGTTTGGTAAAGATACTATATCTAGTACTATCTAGTTTCAAGATATATTTTTAATGAGCACTGAGGTGTTACAAAACATTTTTTTAAAATCCAAAGTAAATAATGTGGTTGAACATTTTTGGAAACTATAGTTAGTATAGGGAATTTTCAGAATTATTAATGTTACGCTGAGGATATGCCGTAAGGTGTATGAGGAGTTTATGAGCCTTTCTCACTTTGAAGACCTATGTGTATTTAGCGCTTTGAAAAAATGATATTTTTTTTATCCATTATTATAATCTTTGACCTTTTTATTGTAGCCAACCAGAAATACTGGCTGTTGGCTATTTGAAATGTTAAAGCTAAAAAACTCTATATATGAATGGAATCGCCGTCTCCCAACGACTATATATCTTGCTCTAAATTGAATATAATGAATTGTAGCTGTAAAGAAAGGTGGAATATTTAGTTACATTTTTTACTTGGGATAAAACCAAAATCTGTGTACGAATAAAAACCATAATTTTTTTTATAACACTATCTCAATTGCTCCTTTTAATGTCATTTGCGATCAAAGTACGAAAGTATAGAAAACAATCCACAGCTAGACGTGAATTACATACAAAACTCGCAACAGTAGTCAAGAATGGAAGATCGTAATATATGTAATCGTCATTTGCAATTATATTTCGCCGGCAATTACAACTAAAACTCTCCGTACATACAACTAAACGCCGCACAGTTCATAAAACTCACTCAATCTTGGTGTGTTTGGTTTATTTGTATGTTTTTATTTCAACTTTTAGTTTGTTATGTGTTTTTCTCTGATTTCATTTACAATTCGATGTGGTAAAACTTCTTTTCAGCTTGAAATGATGATCTTGATGATAGTAGACACGCCATCAGTTGGCCAATACTCATTGCAAATCGCATATGTAAGCGCCAGAGAAAGAGACCCAATGACTTTGCGTTATTCCCATTTGTGGATGGAGTGAATCGTATACGTTAAGCATTCGCTCGCTTCTAATATTGCATTGCCGATTGCTTGATGCTCCTCAATGCAAATGATATTGGAAGTGAGTCGCTAATTAGATAAAAAATAGATCTTTGTTGCCGATCTCGTTGTATAATCGAATAACTGCTTTTCTCCATGGTTTTCACCTAATGTGAAGCTTTTATGGGAATCACTTTTCATTTCACTTTTGGGACTTATCCACAGTCCACTCGATTTAAATCAATTTCGAATTGGATAGATTTGGACTATTCATGTTAAATTCATATGCTGAATAAAAACTGACAATAACTGAGACCCACTCGAACTTTTGTGTCATGTACAAGTTTATTTATTAGTATATGCAAATAATCAGGCGTTCGATTCATTTAAATGTATAATGTAAATTATGCTACTAAATGATAAACCAGTGTGGTTCATTAACGCATGCATTCGATAACCGTCCTTTCATCACATAGCACGACGTTTTCGATGGCAGATTTGTGACCGATGAAAGTGATTTGAATAAGTGCATATGTGTATCTGGTTTTGTAAATATCTTGTTAATGGTGATTACATATAGGTATCACCGCCATTACTGTGTGGGATTATACAGTTTTACGTTCGCCCATGAACGTTAATGGAAGATATTTTATAAAGCCATAGATAAAATGCTATGCACGTTACCATCAATGACAAAAAATGACATCGAGACAATAATGACAAAAAAAAAATTAAGTTCAATGCCAAATGTTCGAGCAGACGCAACAGTTTGATCAATGAAAAAAGATTTGAAACGATGTTTCATTTTAAATGCCGTTTTTCTTTTCATATTACTATTGATTTGCATGCGAATTGATTTGCATTTATGCCAGTTGTTTTCGTTTTTTTTTTTTTTTTTTGCATTCGATGAACCGGCTTGATAGACGCCCCATTGAAAATTGAGTGCAAGAAAATAAATTGTCCGTCTTGGCCCCATAACCACGACTAATTGAATATCATGATTTTGCTCACAAAGATCGAAGATTTAGAACAAAATAATTAAATGCATTGCAATCGGTTTTTTCTTAAAGAAAATTGATGGCGACACATTATGGCATATAAAACGATAAATAAATACAGATCTAATTTGATTTCATTTTTATTTATTTTACCACCTTACTAAATTGACTCCTTATGTGATTCGATTCAGTACAAGGCGCGTCAATAAGTGAGGTATCTAATAAATAAACCGAATCGCCGATAACAAATCTCTGTCTCCGTTGATAAATGCCATCCTTCCAATCTCTGCCTATAAAATTTCAGCTAAATGCGTTCATACTTCCCTGTATTTGCCTTTAAAATAAACTTATAAAACGGAAAATTAGGGTAATTTTGTGAGGTTAGGGCTGAAACTTCTAGATTTTTTTAGCTGTAATTTGAAGGATGACACTTATCAATAGCTATAGAGATTTGTTATCAGCGTCTCTCTGTCTTTGTTAGGTACCTCACTTATTGACATGCCTTGTAATTGAGAATCTAGAGCAAAAGCATTACTTATACAATTTTATCGAATCGATTCATACAAATATTGCACTAATTATTTGTTTTTTGAACCGAGAATATTGGTTAGTGCTTTCGATATTGACCGCATGCGCCAAAATTTCATTTTAATTTACAGCGTGTGATCTAGTTGTTCGCTTAAGATAGCCTGAGCTGTTAATAAACGTAACATATGTTAACTGTGGCACAAAAGTGCACACAAAATTCGTAACGATGCAAAATTGATTTATTTCTTGACAACACACTCTAAATCCATAGATGTGTGAAAAGACAGTGGAAAAATATCTTATTTATACAAATTGGAACCGTTAATTAGAATATTTCGAATGAAATTTACGAATGCTCAATTTATAGCGTACTATTTTTATCAATAAAAGGATATAATAGGGTTTTTACAAATCAATTGGTTCAACTTTTTTTGTCTGTTTCTGAGTGCACACAGACAATTTATTCCGATTGATGCCGTCGATAAGCTAAGTGAATGATACCTGCTGCATTTGCTTGCGATAGGATCTGAACATAAATTTAGACGATTTGATTTGCACACCAACAATTTAATTAGATATGTGTTTTTTTGCATTTGGTCATAATTTAAAATTTGATTTTTTTTTTATCTGTCGTATTGAAAGTGGTGATTGAGACATAAGCCGGAGGCATTAATAAGTGGATATTTAAACACACCGGTTCGTGATAGCTGTGTGAGTGTGTTTGTGGATTGTTGTGAATAGTGAGTAGGCGTATGTTGGCTGGCAATCGTAAAATGCGATAAATAAAATGGTTTTTTTGATTTGTCAAGTCAAATCGCCGATCTCATATTGATACTATTTTGCGATACAGTTGTAATTGTGTAAATAAAAATCAACGTGCAACGATACACCAACTATAAACAACGAAATCTCAGAATGTTTCGCAAGATACAAATTGAATTTAAAGGAAAGAAAGAGACAGATATGGAGAGAAGAGATTCATAAGTTGATCGATGAAATACTAGGGGCATCACTCGCGTTTCTATCCAATAGACAGATTGAAATATTTTCCATATCCATCTAGATGATCTACCAATATTGATCAAAATTGCTTTATAAAAAAAATATTTTGAATTGCTATTATTCATCTTCAGAAAAGTGAGCGACGCCCCTGGATGAATTAGTCAAGTAAAATGAAATTGTTTCTCAATCGCGCGAGCACCAAACCAATTAAATACAAATCATTTCTTTTTTATCGTTCACTATTTTTTTTTTATATTCATCTAATTCAAATTCGCATATTGCAAGTGCGGCAAAAACTTGTATAGTGCGAGAGAAAAAAAAACGCACACAACCGACATGCAAATGAATTGTGTTACGTTCTTACGCAATTATCGCAAACTAAAAACTATTGAATCGATTACTGAAGTGCCGGTACCGGTGCTCTGTAATCATTTATATACCCATAAACGCGTTTCGCATGATATTTGATAGATTTTTTCTTCCCTTATTCGATCATAATTTAACATCGATAATTGTAAATTGAATTCAAATTGTTAAGAATTTATGTGGTTCTTGTTTCGACCTGAGTTTATTCGTTTTGTACTGGCCTATGAGTCTCCATCATATAATAACTATGATTTTCGAGATATTGAATTGGGCACTGGCCTCACGCATAAAATGTAATGAAAAAGAGATGAAGTCCAATGCATATAGTTTTGAATTGGTGTGATAGACACACCGAGTTTTTCCTATACAGGATGGCTCACAATTTCG